TGGATGACAACATTCTTTCTTTGCAATTTGTTCTGGGGATGACAAAGTGGTTGTAAATTTTTCTTGACAATTTGTCAGCATGAGCAAAGCGAAAGATAAATTTTTTCCCTGAACCAACAGCTTTGAAGGTTTAAAGATCCAAGACGTAACCCTTTGCAAAGGGTGCTATATAAATGCAAGTTGTTGCTGTTAAGTGAAATTTCTTAAATGTGTGTGCAAATGTGATATTAATAGAAATGCAGTACCATGATTTAATTCCTGCTTAATATTTGTTGTGCTTCAAAGGAAAATCTATTTTCCAATTTGCAGGAGTATTTTAGATGCATGTAATGATCTTCATCTCTGTTTCATCTTGAATAGATAGACCAATGTAGCTCTGAATCTCATAAAGAAGACTTTTGTTTATAACATGCAAAAGCTATATTCTCTGTGGAAATTTGGAAAATGATTAACCTTGTGTTTCTGATAACTGAGCTTATTCACACAAATTTTAGTAATTCAGAAATCAAAGACTTGGGAATTGATTTATTGAAAAAGACATGTTCATATTTAAACATCAGATGTCCATTAGATCTCATTAGAATTTATCACTGATGTTAGGTACAATTGGGAGGATTCATTCCCGGTAGAGCTGAATCCTTATTGGGTTAGATTCTACTCTAATAATTAGGTAATTTTATAATTAAACAAATTCTTATTTGCCTGCCTGCTTTTCCTATCGGGTTCACTTGTGCACCCTGTAACTAAATCTTCCCTGGCGATTGAGGCCTATTGCTGTACGACCAACCAATATCCAACTCCTGCTAATGTATGTCTAAAAAGCTCCTTTGGAAAGACTATCTGGGTAGCATAATTGTGGTTTACAGATACAAGAAGAGCATTTTGTTAAAACGCATTTGTGACATAGGATACACATGATAATATGCATCATGTGTAAGCATGCAGGATTGGAGCTTTTGCTTGTGGGGGAAAAGAGGTATTGTGTGCAACAATTTTACCTGGACTTTCTCACCAGCCTGGTACTGAACCAATCCTCCCGTGTTACAGGTGTCCGTACGGCCACTTAACACTGACTGACTCTGGTTTCATAATGCCCCCTGTTCCTCTCTATGAGGGCTGCTCTGCGAGTAATACTGATAAGTAATACTCCACACCCATTCTCATCACTGTCAATGATAAGTTGTTAACTAGTCGCCCTATCTGTGAAACATAAATTTCTTCAGGCAAGCTCCACGTTATCCGGGTACTGTAAATCTACAACAAACTGTTTCAAAACAGCGCTTATGTATCGCAACATATTTTAGATATGCTTTCAGTGTTTAGACTGCTGGTGAATTACAGCGGCTCATCTCTGTGAGCTACAACACGTTCTGTACATTTTCAACTCACACATTGTGATAGTAGGAAAACATTTTTTAAAAAAAAGTTAACAGTAATGGTTATTCAAGTTATCAGTGGAGCTTTTGCTCCTATAAACTGAATACAGCAAATAAATTAAGACCAAATTTAAGAACTTTCCAAAATACTGCAAAACTACATTTCAGGAGAATAGATATGAGGATTTTCAGCACACTGATACTTAGGAGTACTCAATCTCCTTATAACTCAGTATGCTGAAATCCAAAAGAGAACGCAGTATTAAACTAACTCTAATGTGAATATTTTTACTGGCTCCAGTTCTAGTGATTTTCTACTTCATGTCGGCAGAGAAAGGTGATGTTGTCAGCTACATAGTGGCTTTTGGATGCAATTGAAAGTGCAGAGCACTTGATCCGTGAGCGCCAAAACTTTTTTTTAGTTTTTAATTTTTTTTATGAGGTTTATTTCCACTGCGAGGATTATTCCCTGGAAACTGAATATCTGACCGGATTAAACACAATTATTTATAGACTTGAGCAATTCCTCTCCATGCTAAGTGCTTTAATAAAACAAAGGAAACACTTTTTTGTGTGTGAAATTTAGACAACTTGCGTGCCAGTATAGAAGAAGCATGTGTTGACAATGAACTCCTGATCCATTTTAGGTGGACATGGAGAAAGTTAGTGTGTGTGGTCTTGTCAAAGTTTAATACCAATCCTTTAACTTACCCCTTATTTTTTTAAAAGAAACGTGGGCATCAATATTGATAGAGGTGTCATGGTTTTAATATACCTCTGTTACTATGTGCATTAAATAATACTACTAATCTTACATGTGATATAGCGCCTGTCATGTCATGTCAACAATCTCAAATTGTTCCAAACTATTTACCATAAAGTGTAGTAACTGTATTTTTATAGGCAAACCCGACAGCCGATTTGAACACAGCATTGTCCCACAAACAGCCATGAAATGAGTCACTAATTTTATTTGAGGAATTGTTGGCCAGGATCCCGGGAGAAACTTCCTTTTTTTGAATAGTGCCGTGGGATCTTTAATGTCCACCTGAACAGATAGGCGGGACCTTAGTTAAACATCTTATCTAAAGCATGACAGCTCTAACAATGCGTGACACTCAGTTAGCCTAGCCTGTGAGTTCAAAATACCAATGTAGGGCTTGAACCAGATTGACAAGCCAAAGTGCCAGTCCCAATAGTATAGTGTCGCTCCGTGAAGGAGACATAGCTTAGTTTCCTTAGATCTGCTCCCAAGTGTGCAGGATTAGTCTGTAGTGACTTGCCTTATCTCTCCGATGTGCTCACATCCAAGTCTTCACAGCGCCTTGGGAAGTCCTCCCATCGTGAAAGGCGCTCTATAAATGGAATCTTATTGTTGATCTTGTTGTGGAGTGAAACTACTGTTTAGAGATTATCGTCTCAAAATCCTGAAGTGTGCGTATTAATATCCAAGGCATCCTTTAGTTCTACAGAGGCTCTTCTTTGCCCAATTTAGTTAATATTTAGGTAATAATGAGCAATTTTTTCAGTTTTGTTGCATCCCACAAATTGTAGGTTGCAAAATGGGAAATCAATTCGAATCAAGCTGTCAGTTAAACAGGTAATGTTTTGCACTGGTTTAGAGTAGTCACAAACATTTTACAAAATTGCTTTTGACAGGTTCCTTAACAAGGTAGAAATGACCAATTTGCCACCAGCACTCACTCGAAACCGTTTCAAGGTTGCCAGCTGCTTGTTTCTAGCAATACATCCTTAATTTATCTCCTGTTAGGTTGAAAATGCCAATCAGTATGTCCTAAGCTCTGCTTAACAGATGCCCCTCACTCTGGAATTGCAAGACGTCGGCAAAGGAGAGCAATGCTGACCTTTCTGTGGCGTTTCAAGATGTCCTGGGAGGTAGTCCATTCTATCAGAGGATGAAAAACATCCTCTGAGATTTCGTTTTGTCAGCTTCATGTTCGGTAGTGACATTGATTTCTTCTCCCTGCCATTTCCTGTTCTGCGCTGATAACAAATGTGCTTTGGCAGGTGCCTGTCAAGCAAGGTCTTGTCTGCGTATCAAAGCCAAGTCCTCTCATCAATTAATCATGGCAGCAAGCTCGGCAAAGCCGTCGCTAGCTAGAGAGAGAGAGAGAAAGAGATGCTCCAAAACAATGTGAGTCTTTCACTATGAAGAACACAGTAATAAAAATCTGAACATTTATTTTTACAAGAATGGCAGACGAGGCATCAGTTTCCCTATTGAGTATTGGGCAACCAGAGCATCTGATAGTTTGCGAATTAAATCCTGCAATCTGGGCTTTAAACCCATAAAATGGCCTTTTCTCAGTACGCGATTGGAAGTTGCTCTGCCCACAAGATCAATATTTTGCATGAGTGAAAATGGTATTGGATAATAGCTTGCAGTTAGTTACGAGTAATTCAATCGAGGGGTCATAATGACATAAATACTCAAGTGGTTTATGATGAATGTCAGCAGAACTCAGCAATTGAATTAAAGGCTGAAACACGTTGCCAGCTATTCGCTATTGTCTGTAATATTGCATTTCTTTTTGTTTTCTATTGAGTGCAGTGCCCCATTAGGTGAAAGGGTCATCACGTTGACCCCACTATCGTGTGCGGAATAGCGTAGTGCAAGTGGCTTTGATTAAGCAGCGGATCACAAAAGAATAATTTGTTTATCATGATTTATTGTTCAACTCTTTTTGCTGTTTGTGGAGCCTTGTTGGTGTACATTGACCTATACCTACATGACTGTTGCTACACTTCAAAGTAACTTGTGCGATGTGCTTCAAAAGGTTTCAATGTGATATATCAAATACAAGTATTACTGGTGTCAGATCTGGGTGGAGTTCTGCATTTGGCCATTTAGTAGACAATTTTTAAATTAGCTTTTTCTCTCGGTCTCCACCAACAATATTTTAATGCAACAACACAAATACTGAGCAGAAAATAATAGAAAGAGGAAAAATCCTTGCATGGCCTTTAAATAACCTGATTAGATTGAGATAACAAAGGAGGTATGTTGTAAGAGAGTAAATAATCCTTGCATTTGATACAACGCCTTATCAAATCAGTGAAGCGTCTCAAAGTGCTTCACAGGATTTTTACAGCACTGTGTATTTGTAGGTGAAATCATTGAACTAGATCTAGATTTGGATTAATGATGCGAGTATTAGAGGTCTTATGGATACTTAGGATTTGGCAGCACAATATGTACCATTTTGTGCAGTATGGATAAAGCTTACATACCTGTGGAGAGTTAGTGCCCTGCAGCTCCCATTCATATGTCTTCCTGCTGACTAGTTTGGTCAGATCCTCGAGCTTGTAATGTACCGACTTCCAGTCATGTATAACAAGTACCACCTTTGGGATAGATTGCAAACAAATTGGGAAGAACCAAAAACAGTATGTGTTCCAATCCATCTTTCTGATGGGGAAATTCCCAGCATTTGCAAGTCTGTGTATATATGTAGTACATTTTGTAATATAATATATATATGTGTGTGCCATAAAATATGTGGTTTCAGCTCTAACAAAATTAGATCGTTGCAGTATTAATGTTTTGAGATTTTAAAAATAGCCAATAAACTTCTGAATTTTCCAATTTTCTTTTATTTATAGATTCCCTTTTCTCTGATTCAGTTACCCTTGTGGGAGTCTCTAAAGGTAGGTGAACTTTCTTTTGTACTGACAGACCTGACCACAGAAAAGCAGCAAAATTGGAAAAAGATGCGGGCTTGATTTCTTCATTTGTAAATTTCTCGGTCCACAGCAAAACCCTGATAAGCAAAGCACCAGCACAAAACAGTAGAAAGGGCACCTTGTTGTTCACCAACGTAAATATGCCAGCAGCTGAAGTGCAGAACACCGGATATGAAAGAATGAATGAGATGAAATTATTTGTGGCCCCAAATCGATCATCAATAACGTTAACTAATACACGTTTCAGTGTTACAAGCGGCATTGCTGAGGTTAGCAAAGTGTTGAGTACGTGCTTTGAAAATGGTACAACCTCTTGTGCACCCACCTCCACATGGGTTAGAGACTCTGTGGTTACAAACTGTGCATGCTGATCACATCTCTTGTTTGCTGAGGCAAACATTAAAGAGAACGTTTTGTTCTTGCATAGCGCTTTGGTTCGGTGTCTGTGTGTTAGGTAGGAATTTATAGAATTAATTTGACTATAAAATAGTTACTCTTTGTGCTACTTTTAGGTGGTGGTTTGTTAGATTATAATCACACACCCTCCTCCCCACAGGTCCTCTCATTGGATCAGCACAAATATCTGAAATCCATTAAAGAGATTAGCTTCATAATTCTAGATCATCTCTAACCTCACATGAATCTTTTAGTTTCTTCCCAGTGGGAACTGATTCTCATCCTCGCTTCATACACTATTGATTTTAAGACCTGTTACCAATCTTGTTGCCTCTCCTTGAATTTCTTCTGTTGTCTTTTCAGTACAGTGACCCAAACTGTAGGCAGTCCTTTATTTGTTCTCACTAATGTTTTACAGAGTGTTAGTATCAGTTCTATTAACCTGTATTCTATGGATCCACTTGTGTACATCAACACTATTTGCCAAGGTAATCGCTGCTATGCAGTGTGTGTTCAACAATTTCAACCTTTGGCCAACTAGCACACCCAGAATGGGTTTGAAAGCAGTACACTGCAAGTTCCTTAATAATAATAATCCTTGATTTGATATAGCGCCTTATCACGTCTTCTAGATGTCTAGAATATGCTGTAAAGTGAATTGAGTGTATATTTTGTGGGCGAAACATGGCAGCCAATTGCGCACAGCAGTGTCCCACAAACAGTCATGGATTGAATGACAAATTTATTATTATTTAGTTTTATTTGAAGGAATTATTATTCCCGGTAAAGCGATCCACCAATCGACTAACAATTGGATTCCTACTTACTGCTAGGTAAACAGAGGTGTGTGGAGTAAGGAAACTTGCCCAACATTTCGCCCTGCTGGGAATTGAACCCAGGTCTTTTGCTGGCGAGGCGAGTGCTCCAACCACTGAGCTACAGGACTCTTGTAGTAATACAGATTACTTGTCATTTTATTCATGTTTCTGTTCCATCAATATTCTTTGAGAATCATCTTAACCGATCCAATTTTTTNAAAATTTGGTCATGATTATTTTTATCTTGCCCCCCACCCTTACACCTTCCGCCTCCCCACATCCGCCCAAAATGTTTAGACACCAAAGCAAAATTCACCTCATTTAAGCACAATGCGACCCAAATGTTTGTGCATCCTATTGTATTTCTCGTTATATTGGAAGAGCAGTGGCTCAACAGTGACTCTAGGTTTGTAAATATTAATGTCCTTTATGCACCAGAACATATCCAGATGTGTAAAATGTACTCATGGGTGAATGATGAATGATGTTACTTTTACAATACATAACACAAAATTACATTTGTATAGGCCTTTCACGTCAGGAGGACGTCCCAAGGCATTGGACAGTCAGGGATTTGGACCTGAGCTGGGGGGTTGGGATCAGGGAAGGTGGAGAACAAGGAGGAGGGAAGTAATATTTTATGTATGCAATCTCATCCAGATCTATAAACGTAGCAAATAAGAAACGAACCAAAAAGACTTTCAATTGACTGAAGGAGATGAAATCTTTAAATGGAAAAAAAGTACCATTCTTTAATTGAATCATTGCGTTGGTCAGTATTTCCACTGATCTGCCATACTTCATAGGAATTTGTAAATCTAGAGATTTAGAAAGAAAAAAACAACAATCTGTACTTCTGCTAACTAACAGTTTCACATTTAGATTACAGTATATATTTTGGTTGTAATTTAGATGCATTTCAAGCCATGGTGGTTTTACTGGCAGAGACATTTTAACCATACTTTCTGTGGCAGGTAGCATGGAAGGGAATCACTGGGGTAGAGGGGGATATTCTGTTTAACAAATAATGTTAATGTTTTAGCTCTGCCACTAAAAATTAAAAGGAACCTTTTATCTTCCTTCTTGTATGTAATTCTTTCTAGATCATTGCGTCCCTGAGTTGGCATGCTTTTAGTTCTCTTGAACTCTAAGTCGCTGTATTGTTTGTTTCCTTACCGTGGCTGATGATTCCTACACTAGTTTATTCTTCTAGTCTCAGCGGTCTTGCATTTTATTTCTATGGTCATCCCATTTCCCTACCAGTCACCTCCATCTTGGCCCTAAGATTACTCTATCTCTGTGCTGTGTCTTTGAGTTCACTTCATCCCATTGCTCAGCTTTCATTTCCATAGAAATCGTATCCCTTGTGCTCTAAATAAAGATCTTTTTTAAGAAGTACTGAACAAGATAGATCATTAGTCACATTGAGCTCATTCTTTACACAAACACTATACAATTTGCCCTTTTAGAAACTACTCAATTTAATTGCCTGAGGGGGGTTGAATAACCCGTAAGTAACGCTTCAAACAACATAAAAGCTCTGTGAAATTTCTCCATCATCCCTGAACATGATAATGGTTAAACTCCAGGGTATTAATCTAACAATACAAGCTTCATTATTCATCTCAAGTCACATACACTCCACAGGTCCTTACAATCTCAGAAGCATTTTTTTTAGTGTATTTGATGATCTCTCTGTGTCTGTATCACCTTCAGAGGCATTCTCAATCAGAGATTCATCAAGATCTTCTTTTTAAAAGAGATTGATCAATATAGCATTAGCTACTTTGGATGAGAACGTCCTCCCATTGCTCTACAATAGATGACAAGATCCCATTGTGCTGATGTGGTGAGTTTTATACATCAGACCTTGTTCGAAATTGGTTAATGATATTTCTTGCTAAGTAATGAGACTCTGCTTTGTCAATCAGAACAAGACCTAAAGATTTAGCGATGTTTGAATGGAACTGATAGGAATTTTCTCACTGCTCACTTCCTCTTAGTACAGTGTTTCACTTCACTAAAGGCAGCTCCTGATGCATCCTGTAATACATCCATAATAAAGGAGGAAGAGATCCTGTTAAAAAGAGGATGAACAGACAGAACTGTATTCAAAGGAAATCAAACGGATAGAGTTGACTAAAAGGGGCAAGGAACATCTGTGGGTGATGCTAATTGAATAACGTGTTGCAGGGCTGTTGACAGTGAGGTCTGCAGCTGTTCATTGTGAGAGAGCTCTGCTTGGCCCCATGGAAAATATTGTAAAACATATCCAACTTGTTCCTTTTGCTTGTTACACTGAATGCTAGTTTATTCAAATCTCATTCTCATGCTTGTTACATTAGGAATCTCAAAGTATTTGTTTGGGTGAGGCAAGGGAAATTGAATACTCCAAGGAATAATGTACATAATCTAATTTCCAGGGGAATCGGGCTTGATCCTCGACACTTTGTACATTTGTAGGATTAACTGGCTTTGGGGATAATACCTACAAAGATGAATGCATACACCCACCCCCTGTTCTTGAAACAAAATGTCAATTCCGTCTGTGCAAGAAAACCCAGGAAGCTCAAGTCGTAATTGGGGATAAAGGGTCTTGAAGTGAGAGTTTGCGAGGAAGGTTGAACAGTGATCTGCCAGTGTGAGTTACCATACTCTGCAGCTAGTGGATTTATTTGCAATTTGTTATTCATAAGGGAAGAGCAGGAGACGGGAATGACTCTACGACAGGAGGCTTTGAAGTGGAAAACAAAGTCTTCCATTCAATCTGTATCTTAATGCAATACATATGACACAGGCTTGGCAACGTCGTTCCTGCTTGAGAAACCATGGCTTGGTATAACCCGTTTATGAGACTGCATTTGATGGTGGGAGGGGGCAGTGCCCTTTTGTAAAAGAGGAGGGGGGATGGCGGGAAATAAAAGGATCTAATTGCTTCATGCTGTTCGTACAGTTGTGGGTCTCTCGGATACAAGCAGATTATTTTAGGCAATAGAGCAAGTGTGATATTACAGAAAAACATGTCTGACATTTATTGGTCTCTCAGGGTATTTAGGCCAATTGGATTGTGCACAGGAGCCCCAGCAGAGTGTGTATTGCAGAGAATGTCCCGGGTGTCGCTAAACAGGGAGGAGAAGCAAGTTCCCTTGGGGCTTGGAGGATGAGCTTTTTTAAAAAAGTTTCCAACACATTTTTAATGCTTCAAATTGGCACCTTTACACTTAGTGCTAACAAAGTATTGTACCTTGTGTTGCTTGGGTGTCCTGCACAGTGCTATTACGGTGTCCCCACTTGTACTGATGTAGTACCTGCCCATGTAAAATGTGAGGGACTGGAACAGAGTAAATATTTAATGTGGTATTTTTGGTTCTGCACCCATAGATTGGGGTTTTTTAGGCACATTGTATCCAACATTTGTGAACAGCAGATAAGACATCTTGTGTTAATGCACTATTAAACACCTCAGCAGGAAGGAAGAATGCATTGATACATTCCCAGGGAAATGTGTCTTATATATAGTCTCGGTTAAATGTTTTGAGGTTTGTTCAGGACAAAATGCTTAGATTACCTTCTGTAAGAATGTACATCATCAGCCATGTTACATTGTGCCTCCTCATGTTGTATAAAGCTAATTAAACATCGAACAGACCTGGGTTCAATTCCCGATAGTGCGAAACGTTGGGCAAGTTTCCTTATTCCTCAAGCTCCTGTTTACCTAGCAGTAAGTAGGAACTCGGTTGTTAGTCGATTGCGGATCACTTTTCTGGGGATAATAATTCCTTCAAAAATAATAATCATAATTTGGTCACTCAACCAACAACTGTTTGTGGAACGCTGCTGTGCGCAATTGGCTGCCGCGTTTCGCCCGCAAAATACACAGTCAATTCACTTTACAGTATATTCTGTGAAGCGCTTTGAGCCATCTCGAAGACGTGATAAGACGTTATATCAAATGTAAGGATTATTATTATTATATCTGTCATTTGATCATTTTTTTTCATATCTTCCAGGATTCTAGTGACAGTTGCACAGCGACTTCTAACTGAGTTCCTTAGGAAGGAAACCAGAGGGACTCCTCTCAATAACTGGCAGTTACTCACATCGCTTTGAAAATAGATCACTTTGCATTGAAGGACTCACAAGTTGATGGCGTACTGCCGGCTTCCTCATTAAGAACTCCCCTTTGAAATCGCCATGCATTACGGACCCCCCCACCCCCCATACACACATCCAGTGTCGAAACTGCATCCAGTATATGCTGATCAAACTATTGTTAAGTGGAGGACCGTGTGAACTTTATAACCATGTTTGTTCTGTCATCATTGTTGCAGCAGCCAGTTTATGTAAATGAAAGGCAGCAGTTTGCTTATTGCAAAACAAATTGCAATTCAAAAGATTCCTGTGGGACAGCTTCAAGGCTGGAAGCCATGTCTCTTGCATCTTTGCAAAGTTTGACCCTTGATGTAATACAAGTATATTGCTAAACTATTTTCCCATCCAGATCGCCTGTGTGTTAACATAAACTTCAGTTCCTTGGGAAATTGGACGCAATGCATCATAGAAATAGCCACACACTTGGCACGATGGGTTCTCATCCTCTGAGCTAACCTTTTGGCTTCCAAATGGTTTTGAATATAATTAATAATATTGTTTTCCTTTTTTTCAACTGCAGGTCCTGTGGTCACGGAAACAGAATCATGTGGTTAATTCTTGGCAATCTGCAGTCTGTGGAGCATTTGCAGGTGCAGAGGATTACATGCTATACTGGGAGGGCTGAGAGAGGGAAAGATGCCAAAAAAATAAACCGAACAGAAACATTCTTTTCAAATTCCACAGGTAGTTTGGAAATGTTGTTTGAGGGTGGGCAGGTCCGGTCTGAAGAGGCCAGCGAGAGAGGTGTTTGCGTGAATGTCAGGCCAATTTGTACTCGACAAATTTGAGCTGTGAGAAAATAGGAGCCGTCAATCAGGCCACTGTGTTTGCTGAAAGAATATTTACAAATCTCTCGGTGAAAAGAGGCCTGTGCTGAGTCCTCAGCTGTGCAGCTGTCTGCCCCGACTGCTCTTTAGGGGTTTAAAGTCATATCAACAAGGGCTGGTGATTAACAGTTTATGTGACAGGTTTGTCAGAAGTGCAGATTAATTAGAGTGAGGAGCACAGAGGACAAGACTTGCTCGGACCTCGAAGACTCAAAGGCGTGCCTTTCGGTGCTTTACTAAAGCTTCAAGGCAGAGACACCTGGACTGTCCTCAGGCAAAACAGAGAAAAGATTGGAAGTGTTTGGGGTTGGGTATTGGGATTGAATCTCCACTAAAAGCCTTTCAGTTCCTGTTTTGTTCACCACTGGAATTTTTCTTTGATTTGTTTATTTCGGAATGATCTGTCTTGATTTTCACGCCAGGGGAGTTTTCTCATCGAGACTATTCGACTCGGTCAGAACAAATTTAAGGGAGCAAGGTTTTTCAGATGGGAGCAAGGTTTTTCAGATGGGAGCAAGGTTTTTCAGATGGGAGCAAGGTTTTTCAGATGGGAGCAAGGTTTTTCAGATGGCAGAGTGTAGGTTCAGTAAACATTGTACATTGGGTCGTTCACAAATGTACTGCTAGCAAGTTGCTGTCTGTGCATATTTTGTGCTCTGTAGAGACACTCCACACCAGTTCCATTCATAGGTACTGATTATCCATGATTACTTAATTGAGCTTTCATGTGAAATGAAGGACATGTTCAATCACAAATACATAGATTTACTCTTCTGGTTATTTACAATCACTTTCCCATTTTTTAATATTTTCTGGGGGCTTTTCACAATCATGAAGGTTTTGAATCCTCAGTTATTTTTTTGAACGGTTTTGACGCTGGGTAAAATGGTACCCCACTGCCACAACCCCACAGAACCTCACTCTCCCTTTTTCCACTAAAACTTTTAGAGATTCCATAGCTGACCTGAGTTCAAATACGTTTCATTTAAAATTAATCATTTATACTCAGTGTCAAGTGTCTGTTAAGATGGGTCCAATGCCCAATATTCAAAGTGTTGAGATTGCTTTTAATACGCATTAACAAACAGTGGCCTGCTTGTTCCCTGTCAAAACTGATTAATTCTGACGAGTCTGCACAATGTATAAAAGTTGCTTTCCCAATTAGCAAGCTGTTGTGACACTTAGCTTTTTATTTGTTGCATTAGAAATTAATGCATTCCAAATACACTTTGAATTGCAAGATGTGTATCATAAATTCTGCATTACCACTGTAAATAACAGGATTGCTGCACATGCTCTGGCTGTGGGAGTGGGTTAGGAGGAAGAGAGGGGGTTAACTATATTTGACTTTGACAGGTCGACTGTCTCATTTCACCATTTAATACCAGACCTGGACTCTTCATTTGTTCTGCGGGTGGGTTTTCCCTTTGGAGTGGTGGAACAGCTGGTACTTCGGCACGATCCCTAAGAAATTAATAGGTATCCACCACTGCTGTCACGTCTGCTGTCGATTTGCCACAAGAATGATCAGTTCAGGCCCTGTCACACAAGCCCAGCTGCGTATTCACAGAAACAAAAACAGATTCCCTGCTCAATAAATCTATGAATTCAATCTTTAATTTCCACACAATTGCAATAAAGGGGAAAGCACTAACGCAGGTGACCACTGGCGAGTTTGTTTCAAAATACTACAATAAAATGGGTGCTTTACAGCTACAATATACCAATGGCAACTTTATGAAATGGGGTCATCTGGCTCAACCTGCCTGTTTGTTCCACATGAAATCATTAAGTGACGATCCAATCAATAATGTAACAGACCATTAAACACTTAAAAACAACCTTTGCAATAATGCACTTGCCATTGTTACACCGGCTTACATCAGAATATCAAGAAGGGGATTTGTTTCTCTTCTGATCCTTCTCATTTTGATGGGACTCTTAAATGTGATTCAAAGGCATTTGATAATTCCATGTTAGCTGATAAAGGGTAAACATTAAAATAAATGTCTCAGCAAACTTTGTAAGCGATACATAAATATATATACTAAACCAGTACCTTAAAACACTGTATCAGATATATAATCACTCTTCTCTCTCCCCCCCACCCCCAGTTGTACAAAGGAACCAATAGTTCTAGAAACCTTGTCACTTTCAGCCACTATGTCCTGAAGCTTTGGAACTCTATCCCCCAATCCCTCCACCTTGCCCCCTCCTTCCCCTCTTTTAGATCACGACTGAAGGACTTCCTCTTCGACCGTGCTTACGGTCACCTCTTCCGTCCCCTGGCTCGGCATCAGGCTTCATCATTGTTTAAGCGCTGCCCTGCTTGAAGGGCGCTTTACAAATGCAAGTTCTTCTTGTTGTCACTATTTGGAACCAGCAAACATGGGGTTAATTCTGTCAGCACAATTTCAGTTGATGCAAATGCCTCAGCTTTCATTTGGAAACTGTAGCTCTTAAAAAGAACTGTCTCTCAAATGAAAACTGAATTGAAGAATTTTCTACAATTTAGGAATCTTAAATTGAAAACATAATAGTCTTACAGTCTGAGCCGAGTGGAATTTCGGGGCGTGGCTACCCTGTTATTGGTATTTTTTCCTGCCATTTCAGTTCATGGTTTTATCTTTTCCCTTTATTTCGTCTGTTAGCAACTCAACATGTTTTTTACATTGTCTTTTTTCCTTCACCTCCTTCACAGCCAGTGGTTCCCGCTCGAGTCTCTTGGCTGGACTTCAGCGTTCCCTGGGCTGTAGCAAAAAGACAAATGAGGCAGGTGTGGAGATATTGGCAGGAAGAGCCCGAGGGCCGAGTTTAAGGGTTGGAACCGAATTCAGTCATAACTTGGCTAAGTTTCCAACACCTGTCATCTTAGGCACATAATTGAAATGTAATGAAAATGCCATACTCCATGGAAAGTGCATAGTAGAGTAATTTATTTCTGTAATTCCTCCAAAATAGGCTTCAGAATGATCATGGAGAACCAAAACACCAAATTACATTTCTATAGCTCCTTTCACCCGGGAGGACGTCCAAAGGTGCTGATCAGCAGTTTTAATACAGGACTAAACAAATAGGAGTCTTCAGACGTCATATGGACGTCAAGTGAACATTGACGTCCATATCCGTATCCCTGGCTAGTGGCCATTTACACGCAGTAAATGAGGCAAATTTATAAATTTGTAACTCCTTTGGCAGTGAGTTTGCCAGATTCTTGCAGGTCATTTGCGGATGTAAATAGAAACAGTTCGGGAGGGCTCATCAACTCCAGCACTCAGTCACTGTCTTGTGAATTTCATTAACTGGTCATTTTCAAGGTTAGAACCCTCTGGATGAAACAGCACAGAGGAGAGGGAGAAGGGAAGAAGAAAATAAGGAAAATATTTTTTCACAAAAAAATTGCCTTTAGGACGTAGGCTATGTCAGGTTTGACACAGTGAATGTGACTAACTCTTTAGGCTCGGTGTGTTCTCAGGTGGAGTTGCAGGTGCTATAACCACACCTCTGGATGTGGCAAAGACTAGGATCATGCTCGCAAGGGTAAGTTTCAGAATAACCTTGGAGTCCTGTAGCTCAGTGGTTAGAGCATTTGCCTCCCAAGCGAGAGACCTGAGTTCGATTCCCGGCAGGGCAAAACCTTGGACAAGTTTCCTTACTCCACACGCCTGATAATAATCCCCCAAGAAAAAAACCCAATAATAAATTGGTCATTTCGATCCACAACTGTGTGGGACGCTGCTGTGCGCAATTGGCTGCCGTGTTTCGCCCAGAAATATACAGTCAATTCACTTTACAGTCTATTCTGTGAAGCGCTTTGAGACGTCTAGAAGACGTGAAACGTGCTATATCAAATGTAAGGATTATTATTATTAACCCAGGAAATATGAAGATGTACTGTCAACTTCCCCAAAACCACATAAATCACAAAAATTTAATTAACGGGTGGGTGTGGGGTGTGGCGAACGGAATTCTTTGTAAAGCATATCACTTTTCATTTTGTCACTGAAGCTCTAAAAATAATGCACAGAAGTGTTAAGGAAATTCACAAGGCATTTGATTATCAATCAGCTTTTAAACGTGTGAGATGGACAGGTTTTTGCATCAGAGCCTTAGCAATGTGTAATGTGCTCACTGTTCCTCATTAAGCCAGCAAAATAGGAGAATAAACTCTTTGAACCTTAATGAACTATTTCAGGCAACTCCTTATAACCCACGTACATGATGCGTTTAGGCAAATATCCTGCTGTCTTTCAGCTGCTTGGATGAAAACACTTGGATCAGTTGGGTAACATTCCTGTGGTGGCAGAAAAGAAGTCATGAACTGCCAACTGGTTAGTTAGCTTTGCAAATCCTGGCCCTTGCAACTGTAGTTTACTGATAGATCTTTTACTGTAACATCATGCTTTAACAGCTTTATAAGAGAACAGGCTTTGTTATAGCGCTAGTTTGTTTATCATGTGAATGGGTTGGGATTTTATGGTTCTCTTTTCCCCCTCCCACCCCCCAACTACTGTCTTAGTGAAGCTCCTTGCATATACATAAGCACAGAAATTAGCTGTCTATCATTTGCCTTCCAAGAATGTGAACTGTGATTAACAACAACAACACATTGCATCCTTCATGTTGGAAAGACGTCCCATTCTTTATATGCAGTAAATTTTAGGACTCTTGTGATTAATTTAGTACACAAGTCCGTTTAGTGTCTGGGCAAAGAGATCTTTCTAAAGGGAGATCTTTGGTACATGGAAACATGTGCACAAAGTCTAAATAAGGTGCGACTTGTATTTTTATTGTGATATGAAGAAGGAAGCTGTTGAGACGGCTGATGATTTACACCCAGTGCTTTTGCCGTGAGTTCAGTCTATGCTCTTCTTTGATGTAGGCAGGTACCACGGCGGTGGATGGAAATGTGCTGGTCGTCTTGAGGAACATCTGGAAGGTTGAAGGGATTTCTGGGTAAGACTCTACTTTCCTCTGACCCCTCACAAAACCACATCAAACGGTCATGTTATGCTAACGGTATCCAGTAATGCTTTTCAAAGAGGAAAAAAATGTGGTGGATGATGACAGACCTATTTTCTTCAGCACAAGTGGAGATATTGAAGACGAAAAATAATGCTCAGCTTTATTCTGTGGTGTCATTAGCAATATCTGAGAGGTGGATATGTGAAATAAGTTTTGAGATGTCCTGAAGATGTGATAAGGCACAATTTCAAAGGTTATTGTTATTGAGTTGGCTGGTCAGCAACAGTGCTGGATGGAATTCATGAAGCGAGTTGTGTATCTGCTGTTACTGCAATGAGGAGGGGTGTTGGGGGGAGGTCAGGCTGTCCTGATGATGAACGTCACAGGGTTTGTATTATTGCAGAGGTCCAGGTTAAACAAAATTGTTGAACTCAATAACTTCTTGTAAATATAAAGCATTTATGTTAGAACTGTGTTTGCTGGAGAATTTCTGCAAACGCAAATTCTGCACTTGGTTAAAAGGAACGCTTCTGGGAAATAACACATGTCTGAGTGGAAATACTCAAACCCTCTCACCTCGACACTCAACTCCACACATTTTGCTGTGCAATTGTCAAAATGCTTGTGGCCAATGCCAATGGGGAAACTGTTGTTTGCATCACTGCAGTGTTAGAAAACTCCATAAAATAAATATGAACAGGTTTGCTATAGAAAGGAGACTGATAGTCAGAGGACAGAGAGAATTTTGAATGGGGTTTGCAACTCTGAAGGGATTACAATCCTTTACAGCTGCTGTAAATGATCATTATGGATCCTGGTAAGCTATAGCTCAGTGGTTAGAGCACTTGCCTTGCAAGCGAGATACCTGGGTTCAATTCCAGGCAGAGCGAAACCTTGGGCAAGTTTCCTTACTCCACACGCCTAACAATAATAAATTGGTTATTTCAATGTTCGTGGGACACTGCTGTGCGCAATTGGCTGCCGCGTTTCGCCCACAAATATATAGTCAATTCACTTTACAGCATATTCTGTGAAGCACTTTGAGACGTCGAGAAGACATGAAAAAGCATGATATCAAATGCAAGGATTATTAAGAGTAACATTTGGCAGAACAGTACACTGGGAATTGACTATAAATCAGTTACATTTGATTTTATACAGCATGAATGCAAGAACTATCCAGTTTCGTATGAAAAGCAAACTGTATCCCTCTAGTTAAATTGTGACAAGAAGTGTGATTATTATGTCTAATAAACTTTGCCCAGTGCTAGGTACAGCATGCATTTCAGTGTTGTTTTCTCTGAAAGATATCCAAGCACTACTGTACTGTATAAACTTGTTGTATCTGGCGCATTCTGGTACATTGTGTGACTAGTCCATTTAAGGCAAGAGCAATTTCAGCTGATTTCCTTGGTCTGGCCAATTGGCATTTTTACAACCACAAAACATTGATTCCAGAACTAATTTTCTCACAGGCATTTACCCCCCTCACCCCTCCCCCAGGAGCGCACATGAAATACTGAAATGGACATACATTTGGCTACTGATGAAGCAGAAGAGGTCGTTGTCTATTTCACCGCAAAGACCTCCAGGCAAGCAGCCAAGCCATTGAGTGTTTGTCTCTTACAGTTCATTGGGTCACCAGTGGGCAAGGTTCAAATGTCCATCCCCAAGGTTAGGAAGAGCTTTGCGGTTTGGCATCATTGAATGTCATCCAGATGCAGAATGAACTCCAAATGTAATAATAATTCTAATGTCTGCACAGTTTTTCTAAGTGTGCATTGATTTCATGGTTCAGGATCTCGTCAAATTTGGTACAAGGCTGCAACTTTCTTGGCCACTACTTTGTTTTGTTCACTATGAACTTGTTAGATCTCAGAGGAATTTACAGAATCTCTTTGTCATTACCAGACGGCTTGCTTGCTATCCCCAAATTGCAGTTTTATATCTTTGGCAAACAGCTTCTATGAAACAAGGTGACCTAGTGAGATAGACAGCAAAAAGGAATGAAGAATTATTTTTGTAGCTGGGGTAGCAACGATCTCGACAGAGAATAGTGGTGAATCTCAGCAAAACCCATTTCATCTTCCGGAGTCAAAAACAAATACAATGTCTACAACTAGTCTGAGTTTTTGGATTGTTTTAGAACACTGCCTGCCTTCAGGGGGACAAATGAAGATGGTATTCAGCCCAGGATCCAAAACCACTTACAGTGCGGTTTACATTAAAAATGTAGATCTTTATGAAAATATATTGCAGTAATTGGACAATGTTGTTATATTCAAGGGATTTAACAACCAAATAATAATAATAATCCTTGCGTTTGATATAACACTTTATCATGTTTATCAAACAACTTCACAGAGCTTTTCTGTAAAGTGTATTAACTGTATTTTTGTGAGTGATAACACTCAGTGTTGAGATTCCCATATTCAAAATATGGACTTTGTGTTGTTAAGAAGAGAAAGTGTAGACTGCAACAAGTTCACTGGGAAAAAGTCTTATGGAAGTAAGGATTGCTTGGGACATAATGATTTATTCAACACATACTGGTGGATTGGACTGTCAGGAAATCCTGGTTCGCAACTCGGATCTGAGTGTTAATAAACGAGTGTCGTTAACTGAAACGATGCCAATTGCAATATTTATTTTTGGTTTGGTCGTAAAACGAATCGCAGATAATCATGTGGGAATGTGTAACCCTGATTAGATTAAGATCACTGATTCAGTCACCTCCAACTCTGGAATAATAATAATCATCCTTGCATTTGATATATCGCCTTATCACGTTTTCGAGACATCTCAAAGCGCTCCACAGAATATACTGAAAAGTGAATCGACTGTATATTTAGTGGGTGAAACACGGCAGCCAATTGCACACAGCAGTGTCCCACGAACAATCATGGGTTGAAGTGACCAAATTATTATAATTTTTTTTGAAGGGATTATTACCCCTGGAAAAGCGATCCACCAATTGACCAAAAGGCGCCTACATCTGTTATTGATTTTACCCAAAGCTGTGTATTTTGTATCTCTCACTTCTGTGGGGAGTTTGATAGCCTGAATGATTTCCTTTTGCAAACTAGTGGGTATTACTTAGAAACCCAACACATTTGAATGTCAACTGTTTGACAATGTGGCCAGTGCATGTCTCATACAAATTGCTGTGCTTTAAACCTATAATTATGGTAATAAGGTAAATTACTGTCTAGTAAAACCATAAACTGTTTCCATCTGTCAACTAGCCTCAAGCTCCAAATCAATTTTACTGTATTATTGAAAACCCAAATTAGAAAAACAAGTTGACAAACTATCAAGCTATATAGTGTTTCCCTTTTGAAAAAGTTTCAACTCTATTGATTTCATGAAGTTGGGCAGTCCTACTTAAGGCCTCACCTACACCAGAAATTGATTTGCTTTCTGTACTTTAAAAAAATTGGTTATAATTTACACTCATTAAGATGCTGGGGAATGAAACCCTTTCCCCCCCCTCCCCCCACGTTCTGGGTGTCAAGGTCAGGTATAACTCTCAGCACTGCTTCCAGGAATTCTACTTGTAACCTTAAACGTTAAAGCATAATTACTCAGGATGATGTTACAAAGTAACTAGTAGATAATAGTGTGTTCAGTTTATATCTTATAATTCAACAATTTTTCTATTGGTTTAGATGTTACTTAGTTATAATACTTATTTCGTCCTTAACATCTAAAGGCAGCGAAGATATCCTGCAAGTGAATTTAAATATTTTTAAAAGTTTGTCCAGAAATTGGCAATTCTTTTTCTTGTCTTGTTATATAGTTTTAAATTGTATTTGTCTTTTCTGAATTATTTTTTACAGCACAATATTGTTAATGATGCAAATTATAACTAATCTATACTTTGCAAACTTGCAAAATGCGATGCGAACATTCACAAGCATTTTCACATACTCAATTATTTTGAATATTGGATCTGCAAGTTCTAACCGTAGTTGAGAGCTCTTTCACAATTTTTGGGATTTGTGTAACAAGTCAGGAGATAAGATTGATTGATTCAGGGACTTGTTCATGCATAACCTTTTCCAAAACTAGCACAGTAAATGCACACAAGTGAATATTACGTTCCAACAACCCAGGGCTTATGAATGGATATTGGTAACATGTTTTTGAAAAACATATAATCCAAGTTCAGGTAGTTCACGGATCCCACACCTGTCAACAACTGTCAGTCTCTGTTGCGTGAGATTGAATATTATTTGGCGAACGCCCTTGCATTTGTGATTTGCAAGAAGCCATTTAAAGACAAAGGAGCCATTTACAGAGATGAAGTGTTTATGTTGCTGTGGGTGCTCTGCCTTCGATAGCATTACAAACAGTTTTGCCTCTTGGTCAGCCCATCCTTACAAATGAACCGTATCGTTATGAGGTAGTTTGCAACCAGTACAGTACAATTGACATTTATGTAGCACCTTTCATGTTGTTAGGACGTCTCAATGTACTTTACACAGCTGGCTGGGCACCTGAGCTGAAGGGTGACATGAAGTTGAAAAGGGAGGTGGAGGAGAAGAAGCTGAAAGGGGAGTGAGTTAACCAAAGGCTCAGTTGAACACCAAAATTGTCAAAAAGAAGTGTTTAGATTTTTCTTATTTTCCCTTTTTTTAAATAAAAGTTTATTTTGGTCCATTAGAACCTCGGCCTACGTCATGCAGTAAAGGTTAGCCTTTTGACAGTGCTTTCTGCTGACAGGTTCAGGTAGCAAAGTTTATGAGTACAAAGTGTACCAAACTTGGCTCCATAGTTTCCTTTTCTTTCACTCCACTGACCAACACCTCAGTTGTCCAGTGTCAAATTAATTAACTCCACGTGGGGCCATATGAGTAAAATCTCCATCTACCTTTTTTTTGAACCTTTTGTTTTAAGTCCTGAACTTCATTTCTGAACACTTAATAAAATAACAACCCTTCCATTTATATAGAATCTATTTAATTGTATGTAATTTGATGTAGGCTTTTACATTGAAACATCACAAAGCACTCGACAGGTTATTGCTATCATGTGTCGTGACTGTCCAGCAACAAAGTGAACAGGATCTTTAATGTCCACCTGAACAAGCAGATACAGTGAGTGTCAATAAAAAAGATAAATCATGAAGTTATGAGAGGGAGTGAGATTGAAGGCAAGAGTTCAAAGAAGGATCAATATTGTTGAACTATATCCTGTATCCTAGCTGAAGGATAAGGGATGTTAAGAGATGACATTGTCTCGAGTACACCTGTGTTTTAGAGTTTAGAATATTGAGGAGCTACGATGGACCTCCCTAGAGCTTGATAGGTGTGCAGCGCAGAAAGCACTACGTGTATAACGTTTTGTATACACAGTTGTTTCTAAGTGGAGTCCTGCAGCTTAGCGAGAGGACTTGGGTTCGATTCCCAGCAGGGCGAAACATTGGGCAAGTTTCCCTACTCCACATGCCTCTGTTCACCAAGCAGTAAGTAGGAACCTGGTTGTTAGTTAATTGTCGGATCGCTTTTCCAGGCCTAATAATCCCTGCAAAAAATGAATAATAATTTGGTCATTCAATCCATGACCGTTTGTGGGACACTGCTTGCCCAATTGGCTGCCACATTTCACCCACAAAATATAGTCAATTCACTTTACAGTATATTCTGTGAAGCGTTTGGAGATGCCTTGAAGATATGATAATATGCAATATCAAATGCAAGGATGATTATTTTGCTGCCAGTCCCTCAGATCTGCTCTGCTTTTGTAAATTGTGTAGATTCCAGGCACCAGCAGCCTTGGGTTACTTGAGAACCAGTTCCATTTGGACCAGCTCTCAAATCTGCAGGCTAAATGCAATAGAGTGTGAGGCTTCAAGTGACAAAATGTTTGATTTATTCGTTGGGTTTCAAAGACAATTATTTGGTTTGTACTAAATCCTAAAATTGCAATGACAGATTTCAGCTTGTCTTTTACTGAATTGCAATCCCTGTGTTAAGAGTAATTTATCAAAGGTTTGATGCTTGGATCCAGATTTCAAAGTTAACTGGTTTTATCAGAAGTGTATTTAAGCCAGCAGGATTTCAGCAATGTGGGCACCTTTGTGAGATTTGGAAAACTAGCAGAAAGATGTGAAATAGTTTGGTTCTGTGTACTTTGACCCAGGGAAGGACATAGACCTCTGACAAAGGTTATTTGTCATGGTTAAAGGACCACACGTAGTATACAAAATACTTTTCCACTTCGGCATATACCAAACGCAAACCAAACTCACAACCCTATTGTTTTTTTGGGGGGATGGGGAATCAAGAAAGTGTTTTGGCCACAGAAGAACCCCAACTACTATTGGGACATCACTGAACGATGGACATTAAATTCCAGCATTGCTCTTTATGACAATCCTTAATGGGAACACTGAGACAAAGCTAGTGATTGTAACAGCAGTAAGTTTGGAAGCATCTGACAGCATAGGAAGCTTAGAAGTCCATCTGTGTGGATCTTCTCAAGCAGTGGGTCAGTAATGGCTGTCGTGTCAGAATGTTGTAAACCACATCTATTAATACCATCAACTATGGATTAGCTGTTGTCTGGTATTGTGGAATCAGCCAAATGTAAACCATGTGAATTCTGTTGCACCTTGAGCCTCAGGGATACCTTAATTGCTTCTGCTTTGTTGTAGTCCTTTAATGTCAACATAGTAGGGATTAAGAAAATAGTCAATTGGCAATAATGGCTTGGAGGAACATAAGTGGTTAATTATAGATACTGAATATATCCTCAGATTGTTGGAACAAAATATCTTAACAGTCAGTTTGATTCATTTTGAATCACTCTCGCCTCAGTTAGGGTTGTGCGTTCCAAACCCATGTCAGAACTTGCACTCAGTTCTAGGCTCACATTCCAGTAAGATGCACTGTCAGAGGTGGGTGTTAAATCTCATGACATTTGGAAAAAAGGAAGTTTCTCCTGGTGTCCTGAGCAACAATCCTCCAGATAAATTTTATTTGTGGGATCTTGGTGATGCAAATAGCTATCATGTTGTTCTACAAAAACATTCTACCAGTATTTTGAGATTTTGAAATGATAAAAATGCAACTTTCTTAGCAGGCTAATAGTTCGTTCAAACTTGTGTTTTTGAAGAGCAGGAATGTTGAACTAAAAAAAAGGGTTGTCAGTTCAACCTAATCTTTTGACTATGAACATTAACTCATTGTTTGCTTTTTTCCCTCAGCTTATTTTCTGGAATTATTCCGAGAGTAACATGGCTCTGTACTGGTGCTTTTATTTTTCTTGGTGTCTATGAAAAGATGCAGACCCTGCTTGTATAAGCAAAGTGGAAAACAGCAGACACTCATACTCCTGCCACACCAATGGAAAGATACTTACTGATATTATAAATTTTTTATTAAATTCACTTCAATAACATTTGTTAGACACTTCTGTATCTTACATTTTTCTCTGTACATTACCAAATTTTATAAATAAATACGTTTGTACAGAAAAGTAACGCTTCCTTTTTCTTTGCCTCTAAAGCAGCGTTGCTGTGTATGTTATGACAATGTATAAAAGAAAAATAAATCTGTTAAGCTATTTAATTGAGGTCGATTCAGAATAGAAAATGTGTTGGAAGGGTCAACATTCTGTTACTGATTTCAGGAATCTTTATATTTAGTTTGTTTCCCATTTTAGCAGGATTGATTAGTAATAACTTCTACAGTGGATTTGTAATGAACAGTTGCTAACAAAATGGATTCAAGATTGCAGTCAGTAAATATTGTTTATCTCCATCACTATCAACTCTTTGACACCTATTAGAGACAAAGAGTACAATTCTGATAACACCCCATGTGGTCTAGAAAGGTAGTTTTGCAGTCCATAATTTCCTTTGTTGCTATTAGCCTTCAGCAAGACAATATGTGTAAAATTTTACTCAAGCACATTACTGTGTAATGAGGTTGATTTCCTCCATGATCCTCAAGTACTTGAGTAGGTTTACTGCAAATATACTCAGTACCAAATCCACATCAAGACCTTTGTGTGCAGTCATGGGGAAATTTGTGATCTAAAATGCAGTATGTCCTTATCAAGTATTTATGAAATCCTACACATTACTTGTTCAAGAATGCTTTTGTAATGAAGTATTGATACGTGTAACATCATTCAGTAGTAGGGAAGAGTAGATTTATATCAGCATTAGAACTCCTACCATTAAGGCACCAGGAGGTTTTAGAAAATTTGAATAAAGCAACCAATGTAGCAAGGAGAAAGTTTGAAAAAAAATCTAAATTTTTAGTTATTCATGCACTAAATAAGATTAAAATAACATCTTCTGTAAAAGATACATATCTGTAAACTCTTATGTACAAACATATAAAACGCATTCCTTTGTCTATACATTCCCACATTTACATGCTTTAAATGCAAGTCAATTGTTGAACTACCAATAATACTTCCCATAGAAGCTTAAGGAATATATACAATTTTAGAAAAACGCTCGAACAGGATTTTTCCCACAAGCTCTGTCCTGACACGTCTTCAGGTTTGTGAAGAGGTACGATATACAAACAGGTGAGGTAGTAACAAAAGCTGACGAAAGTTTTCAGTGCACAGGCATAGGCATGCATTTATCTGCAATTTTCTTCAGTTTGGTCTTTTACAAGCTATACCTCACATGAGTGTGGTAGCTTTCCATTTAGTAGTAATGTCTGTCTGACCTCAGCCTCAGGTACACTGTACAATAAAGTCAGAGGTTTTTCACACATTGCTGTTTGCTGCTGTTTTAAGCCCTCCGATGATGACTGTCGCACAGGATTGTGAGTTGTTCTAACAGGTTCTAAAGACAAAAGGAAAATGGAAAGGTTTCAATCTTGCACAGCTTCCAATTTAACTTAAACAGTTAATTATAGAAACATCTTATTGGATCAGAAGTCTAAAAAGACATGAACAAAAATGTAGTGGCTAACCTAGCCTATTTATTTCAAATAGATCTCATTTATTCAGCATGATACTTTGCAGTTTAGTAAAAGTTGAAAATGGGCTTCACTTTTTACGTTGCTGGAAAATTAAAATAATGTGAAACTATCCCCTGTAGGTTTGCACTCACAAAAGAAATCAAAGAAAGGAGCTGCTCCATTCAGCTCATCCAATTTCATGACTCTCCTGCTGTTTACCACATCCTGCACAGGGGGAGGCAATTTGAGTGCTTTTAAGAATTTAGCAACTAGGAATCTGGGGGTATGTTAAGATCTGCGAGGACCAAGAGGTCCCAATGTCAGGATATTTGGAGCTTTCAAAAATTACCTCTTTTGTCTGGACATTTTTCAGCTGCTGACTTTTCCGACTCTGAAGGCATCCTGTCGTGGTTGCTAGGATATATAGCGTCTTCTTGCTCCCGCACACTATTGAAAGTCCCATTGCAGAGATGATTTAAAGTGTTTCCATCAGTTCTGCAGTGCTCTGGACTGTGTTGCTGGTATGGATGATCTATAATTTTATAAGGTTTTGTACAATATTCTCGATCCTTGGCATACATGTTACCATTCTCAAATTGATCAACAGGAACCATCACTGGAACACCAAATGTACCTATGGGAATAGAGAAATTCTCAGTCACTGAAACCAAAAAATTCCCTTACAGGCTCCGATTGAACACAGACATTCAAAAGAGCTTAGACCGGTTAATTTAGGCAACTGTATTCAGAATCATTATACAGCTTGACTTGCCCACTTTGAAATAATAAAAACGATGTCTTCACAGACTCACGGCTGGAGGTTTGCAGCCTATAACATTTCAGCAGGGACGTGTAGGTGATTAGCAGAAATTATGCTTAGGCAAGTTAATTTAGGCAACTATCTTCAGAAATGTAAGCAATACTCAGGAACAAAAATCCCACCCATTCAGAAGTATGGAAATGATTCAATTATAAATTTTAAAAAACCATTTACCACAAACATTTGCTTGCAAAACCGTTCAACAATCCTTCCAATTGGCTGAAAAGGGTTTTAACCAATTAGAGTTTTTAAGTGAAGCGGTCGTAGCTCCATTTTATTTTTACAGTAGTAAAAATATTTCGATCAATTAGATTACTAAACTATAAAATTGATCAGTTATGTCAATAGAAAGAAATCTTAATTTGCCAATTCAAGGTTCAAAGTGTCCTGGAGATGTCAGCACTTGAGTGAAGTTACTAAAGTGACACGTTAAGTGTGTTTGACTTTACATCTGTAAAGCATTCTGCACTTGACTACCACCTGTTCCTGGGATATTCATTTTCCCAGTGGACTAAGATATACTTGTCAACCTTGTAGATTGTTAAACCAAAAGGATTTTTTAGGGGAGGGGCAGGGGGGAGGAGGAGGAGAGGGAAGAAACCTATCAACCAAATTTTATTCAATGTTCTTTCCACTGAAAAAAATGACCATTTCACTTTAATTCATGAAAAAAATTCAATATACACTCTACGTCCAGTATTCACTAAACAACCTCAACAAATTTGAGCAATCTTTACAAACGGTCAACATCTATATGTGATTGCTTTAGAAAATAGGCAGGAGATTTTTGTGAAGCGGTAACAGAATTTGGTTGAATTTTGACTGTCTAATTAAATGGACTTCTAGTTTGCAAAAGGCACCTACCTATTTTTTCAGAGCATAGTCTTCCTTCAATTAAATGTTCCTGTTTATATCCATCTTTAGCATTATATCCAATACAATGCTTTGAAACAATGCTGCAAGGAACATTAAGAGACTCCACATCTGTACAGCTCCCAGTGTCAGTCCGAACCATACCTGTAATCAGACAACTTATTAGAATTGTCAGCCTTGTAAAATTATTACATGTTGTTAATCCTGATGTCACAAGCAGGTGATTGCACTATTTGTGAACTTTTGGTACTGAAGATTATAGTCTTCCTTTTTTTAAATAAAATGCAACCTCTTTACAGAAAATTGTAAAACTAGAAAAATCCAAAGTAACAGTTTTTTAGAAAATATATCAACTGAACCAGATAAGATACCTAAAAATGAGTAATTTGCAGAAGTTTGGGGAAAGGTGGGAAACAGGACTAAATTGCTCCTTCCAAGAGATACAATGGGCTGAATGGCTTTCCATGCTGTAAATTTCTATGGTTCCATTTAACATACATGACAAGGGAAACTCCAAGTTGCAACAGTCAGATCATAAAATAAAGTACAGCTGAGAATGAAACTTTATCTTTGTGACAGAGGCTAAATGGGTTGTAGAATGCATTTCATTATGTTATGCGATAACAAGCATACATACCATTTCTCTCCATGTGGCCATTGGGTATAGTCACTGCAAGCTGTAAGTTGCTGACACTATCAACTTTGACACAAGCTTCCTGACGCTCAGAGAGTGTTCCTTGGGAAGACAGATAACTTGGTACATCAGGTGGTACAATGGTTTCATCTGCAAAATATATACATAAACATTAAAATAACTGAAAATGACAGTTCTTTTACAGAACTGCTTTATAAGACTACACAATAGACACTCCTTAATTCTAAACATGGTTAAATTTTGATAGCACTTAATGCAATTATACCTATTGATAAAACAAAAAAATCCTTACAATCCAAAGCAATCATGATATTCTGCCAAGATTTCTACAAGTTTGCAACTTCTTTTTTCTTATACAAATAAATAAATGAAGAAAATAGTGGAACAGTCTTACAAAACCAAAATACAATGTCATCACTCACAGCAGAGTGACACGGCTAAAGTGCAAGCATATAAAAAAAATTCAGAGCACACAAAAAATTCTGTGGCTCTCGATAAGCATTTATATCAAAGGTAGTTTTGGTAATATACACAGTTCTTAAAAGGATCAGAAGCAGGATTTTCAGTTCTGCTGTATTGCACTCAAGGGGACAACAAACTGAAATCTATGTACCCACCTGTATTGGTAACACTGTATTCTTCACTTTTTTTCCTGGTCTGATAAATGATGCATACCCATACCAGCGAAGTTACCACAATACTACAGACCACTGCAATAATGACAATGCCCACAGTCATAGTTCCATCCTTTTTGCCGTGTCCCATAGCACAACTTGCTGATTGTATAATGTTGAGGTGGCTGTAAGCTCGCTCTGTGCCAAGTGTATTGGACATCTCACATGTGTATTTACCCCCATCATTTGATACGACGTTTCGGATAATTAGCAACTGGTTGCCAGGTGTGAAGTGGTGCCTCTCTGTAACCACAAGGGGCTCATCGCTCTTAAGCCAAGTTATCCGAGGGGAAGGACTGCCTGATGCCATACACTGTAAAGCTACAGTTTCTCCAATAGCCACAGTTTGGTCTTCAAGGGGATAAACCAGTGATGGAGTTTCTAAAAATGCAACATTAGGCAGGTCAGTACTTGAATTTCTCGTCATACTCAGATATTTTAATCATTTCCAAATGTACATTATTTATCCTAAAAATGGAAAACTGGTAAATGGGATGTTGAACATATTTAATGCAATTACAATTTAGCGTATGTATCCAAATCCTCAACTACTTCAACTTGCAACATATACAGCACTCGCCTCACAAGCGAGCGACCCCGGTTCGATTCCCGGCAGGGAAAAATGTTGGACATGTTTTCTTACTCCACAAGTCTCTGTTTACCTAGCAGTAAGTACAAACCCGTTTGTTAGTCGTTTGGCGGATTGCTTTTCCAGGGTGGGGGGCTAATAATTCCTTCAAAAAAAATGAATTGGTCACTTCAAACCATGACTGTTTGTGGGACATTGCTGTGCGTAATTGGCTGCCGCGTTCGCCCACAAATATAGTCAATTCACTTTACAGTGTGTTCTGTGAAGCGCTTTGGGATGTCCTCCCGACGTGAAAAGCTCTATATCAAATGCAAGGATTATTATTATTATTATAAAGCGCTATATCAAATGCAAGTAGTATTATCATAATTTATTTTACACATTTCAATATACAAGCACAATGTCTCTGTAAACAACATTATTTATTCTGCAGCCCATGTCCTCTCTCGCACTAGGCTCCGCGACCCTATCACCCCCATCCTTGCCCAACTCCACTGGCTTCCCAGGACACAGTTCAAGATCCTGGTCCTTACCTTCAAAGCCCTCCATGGTCTTGCTCCCATCTATCTTTGCGACCTACTAACCCCCTACCATCCTGTTCGCTCCCTCTGCTCAGCGGGCTCCGGTCTGCTTCACATCCCTCACCTCGCTCGTCCCACTATTTGTGGGTGGGCCTTCTGCCACTCTGCCCCCACCCTCTGGAACTCCATCCCGCAGTCCCTCTGCCTTGCCCCCTTCAAGACCCATCTCAAGACCCTCCTCTTCAACCATGGTTTCGATCTCTCTGCCCGCCCACCCACTGTCCTCCACCCTCCCCGACCCTGAGCTTGGGTCTGTCCAGCGCCTTGGGACGTCCTCCTGACGTGAAAGACGCTTTACAAATGTAATTTTGTTGTTGTTGTTTAAGTAGCAGTAGGTGTTCATTTGGCAGGTCTCCATGTGAATGGAAATACATGAAGATGCCACTTACTCCCATCAATTAATTCATTCTGCATATGTGTGAGAGAATACAATACTTTGTTTAAAGAGATCTAAATAAACATCCTATTCACCTAGAGAATGCATCAACAAATTGCTGTTGATCTAAATATTTTCTTTATTGATCCAATTTTAAGTTAAAGAGTTTTTCTTTTGCCACAATGTTTTACTTTAATAAACTTGTGATTTGGAACACTCAACCTTTGATCTTATCAGAGGTAAATCTAAATGGACTGTGGTCGCAATTATCCACCAGAAATGAGAAGGCAGTTAATCTGATTGCTTGCTTGAGACAGCTCTCACCTCCCCCTCACCAGGGTCATTAAAATTCAAAGAAATCCTTCCATTATGGCAAATAATTCATGATCAACTGTAGATATTAGATTCCACCTACCTAACACTGTGAGAGAAGCATTGGCAGAAATGGTGCCAGCGATATTTTGAGCTGTACAACTGTAAACACCCATGTCTTCAGTTTTTACATCCACAATAAAGAAAACGTCATCTTCAGGCATCACGTGCATGCGCCTTTCCCGAGCAGCGGGAAAATCTGTGCCTCCATCTTTCTGCCATGCAATCTGTGGAGCTGGGTGACCAGTTGCAGCACATTCAAGACGAGCATTTGCTCCGGTTCGGATAGTTAGATCTCTTGGAATCTTAACAAACGATGGCAATACTGTAAATACATAACTGAAGTTAATGAGGGTTACCATTTTAGCTGGTGTTGACCAATATAACATTTTCTCACAGTTCCTGCTTTTAAAGCCACTATATTGCAGAATATTATCCAAGTTTTTATGCAAAGTCTTGGATACGCCAGATGATTTAAGAAAGATCAGCGAGAGACTGTGTTCAGTTCTGGGCACCACACTTTAGGAAGGACGTCAAGGCAGTGGAGAGGGTGCAAAGGAGATTTACCAGGATGGTACCAGGAATGAGGGACTTCAGTTATCAGGAGAGGCTAGAAAAGCTATTAGGATTATTCTCCTTAGAGCAGTCTCCTTAAGCGGAGACTTAATAGAAGTTTTCAAAATTATGAGCGGATTCAATAGCGTGAACAAGGAGAAACTATTTCCACTGGCGGGTGGATCGGTAACCTGAGGACACCTATCTAAGACAGCTGTTAAAAGAAACAGAGGGGAGGGGAGGAGAAATGTTTTCACAATTTAGCAAGTTTTAAGAGAGATGTAGATAATTATTTGGGAAGGATAAGTTTGCAGGGCTATGGGAAGAGAGCGGGGGAGTGGGATTGATTTGGAAAAGCTCTTTCAAAGAGCCGGCACTGACATGATGGGCCGAATGGCCTCCTTCTGTGCTGTATAATTCTATGTTTCTATTCTATAGTTCTATATTGAATAATTAAATAATAATGGAAGTGTTCAAAATAGACTTGTTCTGGTAAGTGAAAAAGTGCCGTTTCATTATTTGAAAATGCAGGGTTGAATAATGAATATTTTTGTATTATTACACTTAAATTTCAATTAGGAAATTTGTAGCAAATCAAAAATGTACTCACCATTGACAGTAAGCTTAGCTCTGGTGGAGTAGGTTGATCCAAAGTTGTTTGTTATCATACACTGATATCTTCCTTCATCTGTAAACTGCACAGCTCTTAAATGAAGAATAGTAGTATACTCCATTACTTCACCGTCCTTTGCTCGAACATGTGCAAAGTTCTCAATTTCAGCATCATGAAGAATCTCATGGCCTTTCTTCCAAGCAAATGTCATTGGAGAGTCGCTACTACTCGCTGCTGAACAAATGAATCGGATGTCCTTGCCGAGCACAGCCATGGTTGTTGCAGGTTGAACAATTATTTGGGGTTTGGGGAAATCATCTGTAAAGTTGAAATAGGAAGCACAGAGATGAGGAATTATTTGTAATTAAATTGTTTTGACCAGGATGAAAAGAACTAATAAAATTCAGACTAATCTGAAAACTAAATGATCTTATTAAGGAAATTTGGAAAGAACTAAGTCAACGGAGAGCGTAGAATTCTATTTAACAACATTAGTTTCAAAAGACAAGACTAAAAGAAAGAACACTCAAAGAAAGTCACAAAAAGTTACTTTTGAAGAAAGTTGAAAGGTTGCTCCCCAAGTGCTACAACTTATAAGAGATTCTCAGATATAAAAATTGCTCTCAATAAAAATGGCCTGTCGGTCAACATTCACAAATACGTGAATTAGTGAACAATAAACGAGACTAGCAAATGAGATTGGCTGGCTCAGTGCAGACTAAGTATGTTAAGAGACAGTAAGGATAAAACCACAGACCTGAATTAACGTTGCAATGAATGGTTGCTCTTAGGTCATCATCAACTATCTGAATGGTCATATGTATTATAACTGAGTCAAAATCTTACTGAGCACTTTTGTAAAATGTTTACCCAACTCATGCATTATAAATGGATAAATGTGTACTTTGGCATCACATGATAAAGTATCAATGCTCTGTGCCACAGAATAGCCAATATCCCATAAGGTGAGGAACTAATCAGAGACCAAACACTTCCCTACAGGGAAAGGAACCAAGTAAATTGATCCAGACCCTAGACCACTATCACGCAACATCTCACAGCCAGAGGGCTGGAAACGGGTCATATGCTTGGCTACTGTGCCACAGGGAGACCCAGAAAAGGGGAAGGGACAAAGGTCAAACCAAAACACAAAGGATTTTTTGTTCAAATGCATTCATATCTCTGGGGGCCGGGCGGGAAGAAGAGTGAATGTGTATAATGCGCCATTGTTGTTCACTTATACTGAACTATCATATCAGCAAAGTGAAATGTTCTATTTTGCACCCTCAAAAGTACTACTTAATAAATCTTTCAAATAGTCCGTATTACTTTGGCAGTACCGTATCTTGGTATCTGAAGTGTTACCTTAGGGCATTTGTCCAGAAAATAAATGTTTAAAGCCTGAAGTTTAATTTTTAAAACTAGTAAATAGAAAAAAAATTGTTCATTCGTGACATCAATCTAAACATGTAAGAAAAAAAAATCTGTACAATTAGGACGCGCACTGGAATTTACTCAACCACATTAAAAGAAACCAAAAGTATCAGCTGAACTCAGATGTCACTGTTTCAAATCTATGTCTATGTACTACTACAAGCCTTGGGGACAATTGTTTCCAGTACATTTCAATTAAATTAGATTCGGAGATTCATGTGCAGCCTAAAATTTGAATAATAACTGAAGAAACTCGAGATGAGGGTATGAAGCCAAAGCAACCATTGCAAAGCTGGACGAGAATTTTGAAATATCAATCTGTTCATTGGCATATGGCAACTAAATTCTCAACAGTAATCTGCTCAGTAAATTCCTAGATCTGAAGGTTAGCAGACTATGACACAAACACCTACCACAAACAAAGCTTTCTGCAGGGACACTGAAGATGCTTTTGCTTTTCAGTGACTCTGGGTGTGCACATGTTGCATCTACACTGGCCTGGAAGCCTCTTCCTGACAGCCAATGCGGCAGCCATTTTAGCTGACAGTCACATAAGAAGCTGTCACTGTTCATGTATCTGTAGATAACAAAAGTTGTTTAATAAAAATAGTACAATAAAACCATTGCATAACATTTAAGCCTGCATCACAATTTCAAATAGAACCCACCCCAAGGAATACGTTTAACCGAAAAACACAGCATCATTACATCTGTGTAAGTTTCGTTGGTTTTATTGTGTGGCACAAGTACATCTAAAATTGCAAGAACCTATTTCAGGTCATCAATGTTGATGGACAGTGACCACCGTTCAAATTGAAAATATTTACGCTGCGATGCTTGCCATATTTTCTTATAAAATCTGATAATTATCCCCACAAAGTAAAATTTCAAAATTCAGATGAAACTCAATAAAACATGGACATTTCGTGGAGGCAAAGGACAAAAAAAAAATAAAGTGAGACATTAGGGACTCAACCCACCAATGTTAATCAGTTGACCACCTGTATTCTTCTGTAAAGTACATGGTCATCCACAGTATCTTAGTTATTAAAATAAAGTGTTCCAAAATGTAACACTTGGGCAATCTGCCATATGTCAAATGCAAAATGTAATAATACTTGCATTTGACATAGTGCCTTATCACTCAGTTGAGTCCTTTCAAAGCATTTCACAGAATATATTGTAAAGTGTAGTGATTGTGTATTATGTGGGCGAAATTCAGAAATTGTGCACAGTAGTGTCCCACAAATAGTCGTAGATTGAGTGACCACATTCTTTTTTAAACAATATTTTAGTTGAGTGAATATCCTATTACAAAAAGCTTTTTTGTCAAAACATTATAATCAATGTATGACATATCCCCATAGATTTTAAGCGCAAATTAGAAATTCAAACACAAGCTAAACACTCGTTTACTTACAATTCCTTTAGATTTTTCATTTTGGCAAATGCTTCTCCTTGGATAGACCTGATCATATTATTCCCCAAGTTTCTATGAAGAACAGAATTCAGTCACTTCTATGTTGTAACACAGGAATTTATCAATTTTACCTACTATTAGAACTATTAAGGGAATATTTTTTTTTCAACACATTAGATTTACTCATCTTGTTTGTACATTTTATCCTTCCATTCTCACTTTCAGTTTTAAGTCTAGGCTATTTTTTCTAAAAAAAAATTACCAAACTAATAAATATCTTTTTTTCCATGGGCATGATATAACTACTCTGACCTACACTACACCCAAGTTACATCTTCAAAACATTTTCAAAGATTTTATAACCAGCCCCCAGATAAAGCATGAGAAACAACAACAACTTGCACTCATAGAGCGCCCTCCACGCAGGGTAGTGTCTCAGAGTGCTTAACAGTGGCGGTGCCTGACTCCGAGCCAGGGGTGGGAGTGGGTGGGGGGGGGGTGGAAGGTGGCCCTAAACATGGTCGAAGAGGAAGGTTTTCAGGCAGGACTTGAAAAAGGGGAGAGAGGGTGCAAGATGGAGGGATTGAGGGACAGTGTTCCAGAGTTTCAGGGTGTAGTGGCTGAAAGCGCGACCTCCGTTAATCCATCCCTGGGACCACTTAAGGAGAGGTTTACCAAATTAACCTCCAGGGAAAATCACATCCATGGTATTTAAAAATCACTAAAGCTTTCTAGGAACAAGTCATTCCTTACAAATTCAATGAGATGTGCTATAACTATTTCAATGTCACAAGCCCTTGAAGCAACAAGGAAAAATATTGCAGTTACATATAGAATTACAGAGAATCTACAGCAAATAAACAGGCCATTCGGTGAACTAGCCTGTGTCATAGTAAATTAAGAATGGAACACAACATACAACCTCCAAAATCACAGTACATTAAATTTCTAAAAATGTCTCCACTAGTGTAGTAAAAATGTCAACATATCTACTTATGTTTCAGGGCAAACACAATGACTTGGAAATCTACTGTTGTTAAACAATGATTAAAATTACAACATTATAGTAATTATTAAAGAATCAAAGTTCAAACCACAAAATAGTCATGTCTGAAGCTGGGGCTATCTGTTCTAATCCCATTCCTCTGCTCCGTCTCCCAACGAATTCTTAATTTTCCTCAAGTTTTTATCTAATTCCTTTTTAAATAGCTCTATAGACTTGGTTTTGAGTGCTAAGACTTTCAAATTCTAACAAACCTTGTGGGACAAAACAATTTTGACAATCTAATGACACTTTTCAACTATGATTGCTTTTGATAGGTTAAATGAAAAGATTTCCACTGATGTGTGAGTCAGTAATGAGGACATAAATTGTAAGAAAAACTAATCTCTACAGATTTTTTTCTTACAACAATTTATGACTTTATACATTAGTGGGCCTTGAAATTACAATATACAGCTTCAGTGTACAAATATTATAACATTAACTCAATTCTTCTCATCTAAGATCCTATAACATTTAATCCAACATTGAAACTTTAGACTGCAATATTGAATATTCATAGTTTACCCTTAGCCGGCAAAACGTGTGGCATCACATTGTGACACAAAACTACCATTTTTTCCCCCGCAGTATGGAATAGCTGTTATAAACAAAACATCAAATGCTACTACGAATTAACTGTAGGGAAAATAAAATGATAATATTGGAGTAGCACAAGGAAAGAATGGGAGGAATCATCTGTGTATTAACTTTAAGTTCTTTAAAATGGAATATCTTTAGAATGTCTTAAGAGAATAGCAAAAACGAGGCTGAAGTTTAAACAGAGAACAAGAAGGAAGCAGGTGGCTTGCACCAATGCAACTTCTCAGTTTACAAAAAGGCTATTAAATTGCTAGCATCCACTGCTTTTGGCATTCGGCTGAATCAGTGCATTGTGGGATACTCACAGGTGCTCAAGGGCCTCCAATCCAATGAATGCTTTTTTGGCCACAGATTTGATCTCGTTTCCAAACAGAGTTCTGCAGTTTCCATACACGTAAAACAGATAATAAGAAAGAGAATAAGCACAATTAGTTCAGAAAAAAATCACAATAAAGAAACTGTATGAACAGTAAATCTGAACTGTTCCTAGATTAAAAGGTAAATTTAGTACAAAGGTCAGCTGTTTTAGGGGAAACAAAAATTAGATTCCAGAATTGTGACAGGATGTCACCATATGGTTCACATTAAAGTAGGTTATAGGGGCTACAAAATGTCACTTACTGAATAAAAAGCTCTCAAACTAACAACAACACAGAATACTGCAGAATGTAATGACAGCTGCAGCCTCCAGTATCTTACTGAGAAGAATGCTTATATGGTTCCAAAATGAACACTATGTCCACTTATTTTGAATTTACTTTCTACTTTGGAGTGTTTTTTTAAAAAAAGATTCTGTAAGCACTCACCCTAACCCAATCTACTAAATCCAAAAAGACAAAATGAACACTCAGTTTGAGGCAGTCTCTCGACTGTGCAATTGCGGTACATTTGGTTTGCATGAATTAAATGTCCATTGCGCTTCTAAAATTGAAGAAAAAATATCAACTGTGGATAAAGCTAGGAATTCTATTCCATTAATGGTTGCAACGTTTTTTTAAAAAAAGAAAGCAATGCAATAAAACTCACATAAGCCATATCAATCAGGACCATAACATTTAATATGCCTTACGCATTGTCCGTGTTGCAAGCAAACTGTATAAGTCATAGAAAATCCATTTTAGTCAATAATCTACACTGTGCATGCATAATTCAATGCAGCCAGTAAGTGCGCATACATCAACGGGTTAAGACGTAATTTCCCGCTAAGTGCCAGAATAATGCAGGGTAGAGGAGCGACATTACGAGTTAGGAGGCGATTAATACAAGTAGTGCAAAGAAATCTAAGTGGTTTGATAGAAAACTGAATGGGGCTTAGGTGAATACGACTTAGGCAATTATATGATTTATAAAGATAAACCTTATGCGAGTTTTACTGTATTACCTGGTTTTAAACTCTTATTTTTCAACAGAAGGTCCTTATGTACATAGTGACAAGTATTCTATATTGTGTTCATTATTATGAACATTGCAACAAATACCCGAGCTAACGCAGAACCATACAATGTTATTAAATACTAAAAAAAAGTGCTGCAATATAAAAAGCTCAATTTTGTTGATGCGAAGAAGGGAAAATAAAGTATTTATTTCAATTAATGTAAAATGTGCCCATTTCCCAGGTACAGAGCAGAAAACTTCCAAAGCTTTTGGATTTACACAGTATCCACATTTTATATTAGTGAACACAACCCACTAACCCGACAGATCAGAGGGCCAAATAGCCGGCTTGCTCATCCTGAGTAAGATATCCTCTTAATTCCTCTACTTTAGCAATTCAGCAAGGGGCTGGCGAGCGGCCAATTTCATGGCAACTTTCAGCAATGCATATTTAATGAGAAACAAAATTACTTGTTCATAGATGTTACTGCTGCTAAATACTGAACTACAAGGCACTTTCTTATGCTTATGTTTCAGCTGCTGCCTCTGGAATTCTTAAGTTCTCTTCTGTAGTGTCCAATGCCACCTTTCATCTCTCAATCACATGGCAATCATCCTCACAGGCCATACTTTTTAAACATTAGACTTTGTGCTTGGCGTACAAGCAGCTCATACATAATTTACAATGCTTTAAAGTGTCAAGTCCTTCCTACATATAACGCCTTAATTATTCTGAATCCCACTCTCACTGCTGTGCTCATGACTTGCCTTTCACTGACTAATCCTCCACAGATCAAAAGGTGACTGCTCGCAGACAAGAGTGTAGCACTGAGGAATTTATTAATTCATGTAAAGTCTACTGCTCGTATAATACAAGAACTCTCTTCATTTCACCCTGCAATTTAATGGTATTCGAGAGTATATAAAGTGTAAATAATCATCAACCTGTTGTTTTCTGAACAGAACAATTATTACAACATTAAAGCAGTTGTTATAGTTTAGGGAAGTAGCCCAAATACTTAGATCAACTTTGCCACTATCAACCTCATCAATAAACTACCGAGCATAAAAAAAAGCAAATAACAAACATCAACCACCACATTCATGCCTGTACATGCATAATACAATCAGCTGGTAAAAGTTCCAGTTTTAGAGAACACTCATATCTCAAGTGTGTATCTAATCGTACCAAGCAAGACAAGTGAAAAATATTAACTACAAGGCAAATGCTTTATGGAAGCCTTATCTCTCAAGGTTTAGATTTAATTTTTTAGGCCCATAATTCACAGCTATGTGAATACAATGCTAAAGCTCCAGTACACAAACAGTTAGTACCCTCAGAGGTACAAAACTCAGCAGTTCACAACGCCGAAAGCAGACTTGCTTGGTAGCCTTCAAACAGAATATGTCCTGATTTGCAGAAGGTTGCAATTCATATTCAGAGCCAAGATATTTAGAGCACATTTGGGAGCAAAAGTTGGCCTCTGCACCCCCAACTTGGAGAAGAAAATCAGCCAAGGTTCTTGTCCTTGATTGCGATTCAGGAACTCTTGCTATAAAGTCTGTGTATGGGGCGGACCAATTAGGGCAGGAACAGGCTCAGCTGTGATGCTTTCCAAATCCCCCCCCCCAAGAACTGTACACTACTGGAAAGAAACAGGAGTCAAATGCTTTCATACAAGGGGAGGAAATTGAAAGAGAAAACGTAAAAAAACTCAAAAATGTTCTTAAACAATCAAGTTATAATGCCATATTCTAGTTTTTACAGGTATGACTCCAACTACTCTAACATAAAGTCTAACCACAAACACTGAAGAACAATATGCATATCTTCTGGTGTGTATAGCTGATTAGAAGCCATTGCATCTCATCTTTCCATTTTCCTGAAGCCTGCATAAAAATGAGTCTAATTCTCAAAGTTCCTATTCAAAGCACAATTACAATGGCTGTAAAGGAATAACCTTTTAATGCATGCAGCTCGGCTGACTTCAAAAGCTGGGATACTCACAGCTTGCTCAGACTATCCAAGCCAGCAAAGGCCCCATTTGTATCTTCTATTATCCCCGAGATTTCATTATTGTCTAGTTCCCTGCAGGGAAGAAAAACAAGAAAGTGCAATCAATTTTCCAGTCCTGCTCGTTTCCATGAATGGAAAGTGAACAAAAAAAAGTACTTTTGTAGTCACTGAACTAATTACAACAATTAAGTTATTCAATGCAAAAAAACACAATATTTATTCAGAGTTTTAAAACAGTGGTTCGTTAGATCTGATATCTTCTTCATGGTGAAGCAGCTATTATCCGGGAAATGTAACATTCCGAATTTTTAATTTTTGCAGCACTTTAATGCGTTTTACATTTATTGCAATAGTCTCGCTTAACAATTCATACAGGTTAGGATATGAGTAGTCTTCAAAATGCCAAACTGCTTTTTGAAACCTGAGAAATGTAGCACCGATGCTTTCTTTACTCCTGTGCCATCTTCCTCAGCTTGTCTTACACATAAGTAATGTGATTCACAATACTTACTTGGCTCATCGCATAAACACACGAAGAGTAACAAATTAGCTAAATCTGCAATTTGTTTAGGAATATCCAACTTTTTTAAAAGAAAGTTTCCTTACAGATATCAGATTGGTATCTCTCTTTATCCCCCATCTTACAGTTTTGATTCAATATAATTTCCATCAATGTCCAGCAAATCACACATCACTGATTAATGAATGGTATATGCAGTTTTGATAGTTCTACACATCACGTCAGAAACGAGAAAAAATGTCAGTTGGCATTTAGAATTAAGCTGCATCTAAGCAATGGATTTGTTCAAAAATATCCATTCATCAATAGATGTAAAGCAAAACGCCACACTTCAAGAAATAATTCATGAAAGCAAAAAGGGCAAGGAATATTTTGTGACAAGGTATTTAAAAAAACAGGCTCATAAGCTGCATTAGGTACTAGGGCATGGATCAACACCTATGAATCTCAAAACAGAGATCTCTCAAACTGGGCTGCACCATCGGACAAAGCAGATAATTACATACATCAGTAGACAAGTCAACCAAGCTGTGCTCACATTCACCTAATTACTTAGAAACCTGGAAGCAAGTGCATTACATGCACATAGAGACTAACAAGTGAAGAAAGACAACTAAAATTAGAACAAGGAAATTTATGGCCAAACAAAACCCAGGTACAAAGTGAGTATATATTTATAGATTCGATTCCAAATTGATTCAATCGCAGATTTAAAAAACTCGAATACAGCCATTTTTACCACGGGAACTGACTATTCTATGCACAATGAATGGAGTCCACACACCATTCATGTAGGAAAGCACATATCGACAGGGCTGGGCCGCACTATAAAAACAACACAACCCAGGAAAGGTTAGGTGCAATTAATATTTTACCCACTATTGCCTGCATATGCTTGTGTAAAATAAATCTTGCCTGTTTGGTCCCAGAAAGATTCCGCTCAAAATCAAGAAAGAGCAGTTTGCTGAAATTTATATAGAGAATGTACGTGTATGGCGTGCATTTAAATTGGATTCAGTTTTCATACAGGGCAATTGGAAACCTACTGAGTCAATGTACACATCTAGTTGGAAACATTTATGATAACCAACTAAATCTTCTCAGACATTGGAAAACAAATTTAATTCATAGTGAATTCGTTTTGAAACACATGAATGTCAAAAATGAGCATTTACCAGTTGAAAATTTCATTTGGTATTTCCCCATAAACATTTGGTCCAACTGCTAAAAGAAGCTGACTAGTTATTCAGCGTGAAAGCATGTACACAGTAGAATACTGAAATTTTCTCTCTGGGGCCGTTCATTCTCGAATTGTAAGGTTTTAAAACAGCGGATATGTATTCTACTTAAAGGCAATACCATGCTCATCACAAGTCATCTTTTGAAAAGAACAGAGAGTCAAGTAAAACAAAATAAAAATGTTCCTCAAACTAGCAAAACCTTTGATTTCAGCTCTTTTTGTATTTACTTCCTTTCTCTTCCAGGCTTGGCTGGCAATTTCCTATTCTTGCTGGCTGGCTGGCTAGGCCTGAATGCCTGCTGGCTTGTTAATCATTACTATGTGAAGCCCCAGGCTTGACCTCTATTTGAATAGCTATGCATTTCAGCAGTTTCACACCCACTGAAGGCTCGTCAATCCTCAACAACAATAGTCGATAATTAAAGCATGCTCGTTTCTCTTTCACCAGGTGCAAAACCCTAGGGGCCGCTGCTTTATTTAATTACAATTCTCTGTATTGATTAGAAAAGCCTAAATACTTTGCCATGAGTGGACAATCTAAATACTAAATTCAACCTCTTTCTGGACACTACAGTACTTAGGGCTTTGGGAAGGACAAAGTAAACTTCGGTCTAATAGTCTCCTGCAAGCAGCCACGGAACAGAAAATAACCTTTCTGTCTGCAACTTGGGGGGAGGGGAGAGGCTGAAAAGAATATGGGAGAGGAAAGAAAACAATTCTTTGCCTAGGCTCATTTTAAAAGAAAATTTTTCCTCTGATAATCTTGTGACTGAAGACAAGAATCGGCAACTTCCTGAGAAATCTAGAATTAAGACAGGGCTTTAAAATTCAACCCAGATTTTCAGATTAAAATGAAAAAAGGTTTAAACTTTGTGACTCTCAGACATCATTTTTCAGTCTTAAGATGTTTCTTGCAAACCAACTATAACATTTATAAAACACATTATTTAGGAGTAGCAAATATATGCCATCCCAATTAATGATATTTGCTTTTCATAGTTTGCAGAGAATATAATGTAGCCCTGTTAGAAGCACTTTTCTTGGGCTGATTCAGTCAGCACACAGTTGTGATTCATTGCATATGCATGCAGCCAATCAGCCCACTTCCCACCAGCTAGCTGTGCGCACGCTCAATAAAACCGACTACCGAAGGCTAATTATTTTGTGGGTTGGGATTTTATGGATCTCAATCATCGCATTGCAACATGACTTCACTGTTAAATAGTTATTGTAGAATATTGTATGTTATTGCAAATTCACAATTAAAATTAAATTGCAATAAATTATTCAGTGAAATAAAATATCTGGACCACATGCTTTGGATTCAATGGATTTTGCTGATAAATCCTGTTATTGCATTCACATTTTCATAGAATATATTTGAATTGCCAACCTGATTTTTAAAACAAATTGTATTCACAAATATTAATGTACAGATTTTCCTTCAAGGTAGTTTACAGCAGTAAGAACATGAAGTTTTGTATGCAAAGGAGAAATACTATATGTGAACTGCTTTTCTCACCCTCCCAACCAACTACAGTTCATAAAAAAGTTGTTGAAAGTGCAAGAATGCAAGCGGGACTTCCTGAATTTAAAAAGTACATTATTTAAATAGCTGTCAAAATATGTATTGCCTGCAAATTATTCCAAAGTTTATCATCCACATGCAATCAGATTTATTCAGGCTAGTACGATTCAAGAGGCAGGCAACATGAACTGGTGGTTTATTTATTATTTGATACTCACAGTGTTCGTAGGTTTTTGAGTCCCTTGAACGCACCTTCAGCAACATGGCTTATTGTATTGTGGCTCAAACGGAGAATCTGTAACCCACTTAGACCCGCAAGACTTCCCTCATCTAATCTCATCAGGTTGTTGTAGGAAAGATTCCTAAGCAAAACAAAGCTTTTTATAAAATCATCAAATAATTTCCATGAACACCTGTAAAATACTTACCTCATCACTATAAACAAGTCTGAACCATTGATACCCAAAAGCTATGGGTACAAAAAAGAAGACGTTCAGCTAACTTGGTGAATGCTCCAGGAGATGGTACCTTGTACTACAGATATAATTGGAATAAAGCACATTACTACCAATTGAGCATGTCAAATTGACATGTTATAAACAACCTTATGACTTCCATGCATGTGCACAGTCTTTATTTTAAATTTGTCTAGCATCTCTAATAATATTTCAAACATTCTATGTCTAAAAAAGTTTTAAAACAAATGCATCACAACACTTACAGTTCTGTTAGCTTCTGGCAGAATCCCCAGGCATTAGGGTTTATTCGGGAGACAGAATTATAGCTTAGGAAGAGCTGCTGCAGAGAAGATAGCCCATAAAGCCAGCCGCTGGTCACCTCATTCAAGTTATTATTGTCCAAATGCCTAAAAAAGATCAATATTAAAATTAAGAATGACAGACCAAACCATCTTTAAAAAGATGACAGCTAAATCATTTGGCCTTGTTAATGCACACCCCAGAAAGTTAAGAATATGCCTTTATAAAAGTAGCAACAATATCCAGTCTGAAAAGTTCATGTTTATTTCCAAGCTTCTACAGAATTGAGCAAATTTAGCAGAAAATGTATTTTTTTCCCCCAGTGAATTTTGGATGAAGGAACATTGACTAGGTGAATGTCCTACACTTGTTCAAAAATAGTAATGTGTGATAATAACAATCCACCTGAAATACCAGAACAGAACATGGGACCTTGATTTAATGTTTTATCCAAAGGGTGGCACTTCAAATAATTCATCCCTTGTGCATTTTGGTATTGGAGTTTCAACCCAGGTTTTGAGTTCTGTATCTGAAACATCTGTGATGTGGTTTCCACAAGTGACTTACAGAACTTGCATCCTGGCAACGCCCCAGAAAGCACCATCCATGAGTTTGCTGATATTATTCCGCTGCAGTTTAAGCACTTCCAAGCTGTCTAGTCCATGAAATGTTAGCCCATCAATGAGACGGATTCGGTTTCGGTTCAGCTCTCTGGAACAAAAAAACACACACAAAAAACATTATTTAAAGCCTGTTTCCACTCGTTATTGCTTTATCCTGTCTGATAAATATAAAACTGCTAGCTTCAGAGATAATAGGCTGATTTTCAAAACAGTGGCATTATCTCTTTCATTATCTACACCTGGAGGAAATGAAACTGATATCAAAGTCTCTTCGAACTCGACAGATATTTCTTTGTCTTTCACCTGTGTCATTTACCATGTTACTCACAAGTGCCTCGTAATTTGATCCCTTGAGTATCATTCTCATTCAACCTAAACACTGCTTGATCAACAGGAACAGATGTGAATACGATGCTTTTATTAAGAGATAGTGGCATGTTTAGATTCTGTGGGGAATGCAGTACCAGCCAGAAGGAGAAAGGCGGCTTTTGTTCGGTCATTAGTGGAGCCACTGTGAGTTTTATTTTCCCTCTGGTCGCTGCAAGTATTACAAGATTTAGGAAGCACTCATGCAAATCTCCCAGTGGTCAACACTTCAATAATAGCACTAATCCCAGAAATCCTAGAATGAAACAATTAAAAACACCTCAAATTCTTATCACAATTATTCAAGGTTTTCCTTGTCCACTTGTGAACAAAACCGAAGTACCGCGCAAGAGGCCCAGATTTTCTACTTACAACTGTATTAGGTGTGGTAACTTGAATGCCTTTGCTGGAAGATGTGCAATACGGTTTTTGCTTAGCCGAAGAATTTGTAAAGAGTCTGACAAGTTGTCAAACGTGCCAAGTTCCAGAGTACTTAGTCGGTTGTTGCCCAAATACCTGTAAAAATTGCAGATTTATAGATTATAGTTCAAATTATCAAACCCAGAAAACAGAAATAATGCAAAATTCTAATTCAAAAATTGCTAGTGTCCATCTTCTACAATTGGCAACTTCTGCAAACTAAGTTCCAGTAATAAAAATATCACCTCAAGCTAATTTACAACAACCTGCGTTTATATAGTGCCCTTCAAATTTAGTCGAGAGCATTATTCCACATTATTTCTGCCTTATATGGAAGAGACTGTCTTGCAACTCGACACAACTCAGTAAAGCAATGCAAATGGCTGAGCTTCCCTCTAGTTTGGGGTGGGGGGTAGGGAGAAGAATCAAGACGACTACTTTGCAGGCTGATTTGTAACACATAAAACTGACCAGAAGTAGAATTTTCTGTCCGGCTACAAATGATCAACATTTCCTTGCTCTATACTTAAATAGTGGTATGCGATACTCACAAATCTTTTATTTTAAGTCCTTGTGTAAAGCAATTATTTCGGATTTCGGTTATTTCATTGTTGGTGAGGTCCAGTGTTTCTAGGGATTTGTAGAGCTTTAGATGATTTGCCTCAATGCTGCGGATCTTATTGTGGTGTCTGAAATGGAAAATGTAATTTAGCAAATACAACTTCTGCAAAGAGATACTTCAATACAGTAAATCTCGTAAGTCATATCAGTCGGGACCATAACATTTAATGACTTAAACAAAGTTCGAGTTGCATGCAAACTGTATAAAATCAGATTTAATCAAAAATCTACATTGTGCACACGTAATTCAATGAAGCACACGTGGTAGTTCATCACTGCATACGATGAGGCATCAAGACTACGTTTTCTGCGATTCAATGAATCTTGGGACATGCTCCCAACGTGAAAGCTGCTACATAAAATGTACATTCGCATTGTATTGTATTTCTGTGGGTGTCAACCAATAAAGTGGATTAGTTCCAGATAAGAGAAAAATGGCTATGACTGTCACCCACTCAACAATTTCCCCCTTCAAATTGTAGCATGAGGCTAAAGAAATCTGGCAAAAGCTGAGAAATAACACTATCGCATATGGCCAAAAACTACAATTTCTTCAGCCAGTCCTACATAGCAGCAATGTAGAGAAAAGAGAAAAACATATGCGTGGGAGCAAAAGCTGGAAACGTTCGGCAAGTCTACACAACCATTTACTGATCAAGACTCTAGATGATAAGAGAGCTAGGCCAAATCCAAATCAAAGTCCTATCAGAAGGATCGTGTTCCAAATGAACAGATTCCATAGAATTAATGTACAATTATTAATATGATGTCTGTTGTGAAAAGTAATCAGTCTTTCAGTTTAGTTTGCAATATATTATGAATTGTATTTAAAAATACAAACTGTACAAAATACAGCTCCTGGCCACTTGAAGCACAATACAGAGAATTCCAAAGCTGGACGACTTCTCAAATAGTAATGGAATATTCACAGAAGTGGAAAGCCAAATAGGAAGGAAATAGGAGCGGTTCAACGGAAAATCTACCAGATTAAAAGTTCTTTGTAATCTACAAACGAACTAAGAACAGATCCTCATCTTGAACCTTTCAGTCAGGAAATAACAGGCGGTACTTTTGTCCAAATAATTATTTTATTACAGTCTAATCTCTTGGCAGAGCCATTTGATTTAAAATGTAAAATTTGCTCTTTCGAATCTCCTGCCTGAGTACATGCTTCTTCAATATTGGCAATTTTCTACATGTGCTGTTTGATAATAAGATCAGTAGATGGGTTTGCACCTTATTTTAAAAAAAATATTTTTGCTAATGTTTTCCAAATTAAACAGGGAGAATTATTAACTGATTATTGTTCAAAATAAATGTCAGATTCAGGTTTGTAAACTAATAACAATGTTCATTTGTTGTGAAGGTCTTATTTGAACTTGCAGAACAGGTGCTCATTCTCAGAAGGAAGTAGAGCAAACTTATACTTTAATTGTGCTCATGTCAGCAAAATAGATATGGTTTCTTGAAACATACATTTCCTTTTCAATTATGTTTCTTTGCAGATACACATCCAAGCATAATTAGCTCTACTTAAAATAAACTGGTAAGGTGGAATTCCACTGGTCATCCACAGTATGCTTATAATGGAATATTCCATTTATAATGTAGTTTAAACAATGACATTTTACTCTCTAGAAGCCTGCAGGTAAACAATCAGTTATACTTTAGATCTCTTTGTGAAGTCCTCCCCCTTCTCTTTCACCAGTATTTTCCCAGCAGAAAATTTAACCCAGAAATACTTTGGCAATCAGAATTATTTAGTGAGATATTTGGTGGTTTCCAGGTGGTTTATATCATTTCAGCTGTTGGTTTTCTGCATTGCAGCTGTACTTTCAAGCTAGTGCAGTATTTCACACTCCTCCTGATATAGAGGGCCCGTTTAACTATTGATACTGACTGCTTCTTTGTTAAGAAGAATTGAATACAGTGAGAAAATATGTAATGCACAATTGCAACTGGGTTCTGCACAAATCCAGCTGGGCCTGTACAACAAATCTCTGCCACAGAAAACAGGACACTTATCTGTTAAAAAATTACATTACCATCTTGCAAATCTTTTCAACTACACTTAAATGCAATATATTATAGCCAAATAACATTGACTAATCTTTGAATAAAGATTTTCTTGCTTGTTGCCATTTGGATTACAGTACAAGAAATCTGCACACAATATAAACCGCCCAATAGTATGAGGTTTAAAGCAATCAAGATTTTCAGTCTGGGAAATCCTCAAACTTTTACATGATGAGGAAGGACTACATTCTTATGAAAGATTACCATTTTATTGTTACCTACTACTTCCTTTTATAAAATGCATACCTCTTGAGATATTAACTGACGCTCAAAGATTTCCTTTCTAAACTGGAAGGGTTACTTCACAGGGAAAAACATATCTAAGACCAACAGCTAATGCGAATGCTCACAGAAATTGCTAGTTAAACGTACTGCACCCACTTGCAATTTGTGGTTTAAGAACATGTGGTAAAAGAAATGAGCATAGTGTATTCTGGATATAGAGTCAGATACATTCTCAATGCCTGATTTGGTGACATCATCCTACATGTCTGGCACTGGACAAGTTGTCCATATGTAATAAGTTTACTGCATTGTGCCCGTGAAATTTCACAGCAGCTGTTGTCTCAGCTTCCGGTTGTTGTCTAAGCCCAGTACAGCAACACCAAATAAAATTTGAGAAATAATGGAAGGCAGCTGTACATTTGTCATAACATTATTATGTGTAGATTCTACCCTCCCCCTCTTTCTCTCTCTTAGGATGCTGGGAACAACCTCTTGTGGACTGAATTTTGTTCTTCTTAGACACTGAATACCAACTGTATATTCAGGGAAGAAGTGATGGAAAATTTTGCGAATGCAATTGTTTTCTTAGAACAATTTTGCCAACTGCCTTCTTGAAGTTCATATACTCACTTCCAACATGACAGAAGCCCATTTACTATTAACTCCAAACTCACCTAAAGTTACCCTTCTCTGTAAGCAGCGCTTTTTAAAACCTTTGAAAGTATTCAAAATGCTTTGAATTAGCTATTTTTCAAATTTCAGAAGTCTAAGAATTCTGCCCATGGAAATGTGGAGCACTGGAATTAGATGTAGTGGTGGCATAAGGGTTTTCTTTTACAAATTACAATTATTCAGTAGGTTTAATTAAACTTACCAAATCGATTTCACTAAGCTTCAAAATAAATTCTGAAAAACACAAATTATCTTCTCCAATGTTTCAGTTGGTAAATCACTGTCTTGAGTGAAGCCGAATCACAAAAGTGTGAGATCTGAGTTAGCAGTTCTAGTCTAATTTTCTTCTGTACCTGGCGCCTGATCCTCTCTTGCTTTATCCATCACTATGGTTTTCTTCTTCATTAGTGCCCAAAATATAATGGCTTTAAACCACAAAGTGCTCTATCTAGCAGCTTGGCAGAGAACTAGCAAACATTGTCCAATGAAGTTAGACAGAAATAAATGGGAGAAGTGGTGGCTTGAAATCAAACCCTCAAATTGGGTGTTCCAACTCTACGTTTGGTGCAGAGCAATAAATTTGACCCAAGGTAATAGTTGCAAAACAATTTCCATCACATTGAGACAACAAAATGTGAAAGGACATAGAAAATAGAGCAATGGGAATGAGGGGGTAGGGGAATAAAAAAGAGGGGAAGAAAGAGGCCTAACACAAAAATTAATCATGAACACTGTCTGAATGCATGAATTGTAGGGTTTCCTCCATCTGAACACAAAGTGGAATTTCAAAGACCAATCATTTCACTTTGTCACAAAAGCATTTCTGAAATGGTGAACTTTTTAAACGACTTGTAAATAGCAAGTAATTACAGCACTGTAACTCTAATAAACCCATCCAAGGTAATTAGAATGGTAGACTCAAACACAATTGATTTTGCTTTCTCCACCTGTGCCAAAGCATGCATCAATCAGCGCTCACTTTTAAAGCAGCAGCCTCCATTGCACTTAATCTCCACATAAGTCAATTTAAGTGCTAAAGTAATCAAATGTATTACATCAGGCAAACCTCTTATCTCCTGCATCACTCCTTAATTACAATATAATTAGATTGATCAGTAGAGTAATTACTCTTTTTTTAAAAAATTGCACAAGCCTCATCTTAGATTCTTTAGCACAACAGCATACGCAGTGAACACAGTTCAGTTATTTTGAGAGAATCTTCAAGAATACTATAGTTACATGCACTTATTGGATTTCCAAGGAAGCATTATGCCTCTATTACATTGTTGGAACCAATAATGAATATATTCTATTGTCAAAGCAAATGTGGTGCAATTATTAATTTTATGATGAGGATGAGGAGAGCTCATTTAATGTAAGAATGATAAGAGCAAACACTGAGCTCTGGTAACCAATACCAAATATTTATTACACTTTTATTATTTAAAATCTGCTAACAGCATTAGAAAACCATAAAAGGGTCCAATTAACTATTTTTAATTTTAAAAAACTTTGTCTCTTAACATACCTCGGTTAGAAAGGTTAAGAGGGAAAACATTACGGGCCATGGTTCCCACCCTTGATTACTATCCAGTGATCCTTGTTGGAGGTGGCATGTGTGAATAATAAAGACTGAAAATAGTCCAAAGTTCAAGATTGGCAAGATTCCAAGTAAAAGAAAGGGAACAAAGGAAGTATAATTGGGGGTGGGGGAAGAAAGAGAAAATATAGTTGGGAAGAAAGTAAGGAACACATAAGAGAATAGTAAGAAATGAATTAGAATCACAAGTGTGTGATGAATACTTTCCAAATTTCATTCTACAAAAACTAATCACTGGTAGAATGAAGTTAATCATCAAACGGTTAATAAAATGGGGCAGTATTCTTGGCATCTCTAGTACAGAAACTGGTATGGTAAATCTTGGATTTGCAAACAAAATCAGCAACATTATTAATATACTTATTGTGCCAAGTTCCTTTCATCCCACGTATTCATTTAACGATAATAAAAATAGGTGAGAGAACAGATTTAAATACAAGCACACCTTCAAGGGTGCAGCTTAAGTTAAGCAGCTTGCAAAAAATATAAAGAGTAAAATCAGCCAATGTATGCATAAATTGCACAGTTTAAAGAGGCAACTCTGTGGACACAGTTCAAAGCTACCTACCCAAGGCACCTGCACACTGGCACAGATTTCCCTTTTATTCACCAGACAGGGGACGTGGTGCAGGCCAGAGCCTGTTGAGTGGAGGGAGTGGACAGGTTGATATAGCATTCGCAGGTCACAGAGGTAAAAGAAGCAAGGCTGTGGAGGGCTTTGAAAGAGAGGATGAGTATTTTGAACTCTAACCTCTGGTGGATGGGGAGCCAGTGGAACAGGGCGAGGGTGGGGGTGATAGGAACACGGAGTCTGGTGCAGGAGAGGACTCGAGCTGCAAAGTTCGGAGTGATCTGCAGCTTGTGGAGGGAAGAGGTGGGAAGGCTGACAAGCAGGAAGGTGGCGGAGTCGAGGCTAGATGTAATAAATGGTTGGATGAGTTTCAACGGCCTGAGGGGAGAGGCAGTGGCAGAGCCAGACAATGTTGCGGAGATAGTGGGGGGGGGGGGGGGGGGGCGAGAGGAGAGACAGAGTGGGTCATGGCAAGGATGTGAGGTAGAAAGGACAGTTGAGGGTCAAACAAGATGCCAAGGTTCTGGACTGGCTCAGGGAGGTAGAGTATGCTTCCATAGATGGTGATGGTGTCAGCGCCCAAGGTGTGGAGGCAGTGACAGGAGCCAAGCAGGAGGGCCTTGCTCTTGTTGACATTCAACTGGAGAAAATTAGCTCTCATCCAGGACTTGGTGTCTGATAGACATTCTGTCGGAAGAGCAGTGGGTGGAGGCAGAGAGATGGAGTTGGGTGTCATCCGCATACATGAGGAAGTTGACCCCATGTCTGCGGATGATGTCATCAAGACGCAGTATGTAGATGTTGAAGAGGAGAGGACCAAGGGCAGAGCCCTGAGGAACTGTGAACCTGACAGTGCGGGAGCTGGAGGTGAAGCCGTTTGTGAAGACAAAGTGGAGAAGGTGTGAAAGGTAAGAAACTGAACCAGTCAAGGACAGGACTTATGAAGGACTATGAAGGATGAGGTCAGAGGAGAGGTGGTGGAGGATAATAGAGTGTTTTTTTTGGTTTTGGAGACAATACAGGACTCCACGACAGAGTGGATGACAGAGTGGACAATGGTGTCAAAAAACACTTGCATTTTAAAGTTACACAAGAAAAATTTTAAAATAAATCCAAGGTTTCCAATCATTTGCAATGTAATTATGTAGGGAACAATTTAAAATATGGTTTGCATTTTATAGTTACTCCATTTAATTAAAATATGCATTTAACTAAAAATGACAGATTATATAATGGTTCAATAACATATTGAAATGACAACAGTTAGAAATACTCACAGATAAAGGGAGATAAGATGGGCAGAAGCAGCTCCTAACTCGGGAATCATAGTCAACTCATTGTGATCCAGGCGCCTGTAAGCGAAATAGATACAAACTGTGAAAACAAGCTGTCCTCCTTGGCTCCCTGCCTTCTCACCTGCAGGTCTGAACTCCTAAAAATTCCCTGGTATAAGCCATGTGCTATATGATCCAGTGTGTATCAAAATACATCTACTCTAAATTGCCAATATATCTTATTCCCTTTCGAATGCATATTCAAAGCACATTATTCAAAGAAAGAGTTTCACCGCAAACATTTAAAGTTGACATTGAAGAGCAAATAGATGGCGAAAAAGGAACCCATTTCTCATTTCACTGGAAATGTATTGCTCGACAAGTGAACATTGCCAATATTACAAAAGTGACATTAAGAACTAATTTGTATCAAACACTTCCACCCAACCCCGAAGACAAATACAGGAAGGCCAGGGACTAATCGTATGGAATAGAGAAGAGGTCAATGAATATTTTTATTTATTTTGGCTAATTTCCAAACCAAGCTCCCATGTGAGATGATTTTTGATTTCCCCTGCTTGACTTATATAAATTATTTTTTGATAACTTGAAACCAATTTATAAACTTCTTTTAAAAAAATGAAGTAATTTCAGTAGCAGGCAAGCCATTACCAGGTATGTTAACAGTTGGACAACGTTTATCCAGCTCTCTTAATTTTCTGCAAGTTTACATCAAGTTAATTTATTTAAATTAACTACTGCTAAAGTTAATCCATATAAAGAGCTATATCAGCAAAACTAGCAAGGAATATTAAATAGGCAATGAGTGGCCCAAGGGAAATTTCAGAGCTGACTCCATACTGAGCAAATCCAAGTATTCTCCTTTAAAAATATTAAAGGCATTATATATATATATATATACTTACACTTCACGGAGGTTGGGCAGCTCTATAAAGACAGAGGGATCAATTGATACCAACTTATTGTAGCTCAGGTTCCTGTAAAAGGAAAAACACTAGAATTAGCACACTGCATTTTAATACAGAAGTCTTCACCAATATTTTTTATTTTCATCAATTTAATTGTGAAATGAAAAAGTTTCACAAGAACATTAGAAATCGTACTATGCTGGTTGTATGTAGAGAAAGCCAAACAGTTCAGACAAATGGAGTAATTCTTATTTTTTAAGGATATTCTGTTTGTTTCAGAATAATCTGCTGTAGGCGTTTACTAGAAATTTGTTTGTAATCAGCTGTCCAATTAGTCTTTCAATATTCTTGGGCTACGATAGATACAACTACAGTACTGTGCATTCCAGCATTAAAGGCAATTTCAAATGCACAACTAAAACACTCAGCAATTGTTGTTCTCTGTATATCTTCTAAAGTACTCTAAGACACATAGAAAATGACATTGCCTATAATGTAAAAATGTAATTCACATTTCAACAATAATTTCCTTTCGTGTAAAAAGAGTGTTTTAGTTAGGCAAGAACAAAGGGACGACAGTCAAACAGCACATCTTTTTTTCTTTCATGTTGTAAGAACTAAGCAAAATATGCATGGGAAATATGAACCTAGTTGAACTGTGTACACGTACCACATGCAAAAAAAAGTACCCTGTAATAATTTACAATGAACGCTAAAATGAGTAATATGGAGGAGGATTTGATAGAATTATTCAGAAAACCCAACTCACATCTGCACGACTGGACACAGTTATCAGTCCTCCTTCACACAAGACGTCTTTTTTAAACAATTACAGCACAAATTAAAAATTAATCTTAGAACTGTATTAACAAACCAAACAGAATTGTTGTAACAAAACCTTCAGATATTACATTGAATTATATAATTAATGTTTTCCTTTGTTCAAAGATAAGTAAGCATGCACAAATAACATCAATCCTGCTAATTATTCCACATCTTTCCACGAGGAGGAACATTGGAATAAGATCACTTTACAGCAAACCTCAGCTGCCATCAAACACTTTGTCACCTATTATCATGACGACTTTACCATTCAGGAACAAAGCTAGGCTGGAGCACTGACCAACTGGTAAACACTACAGAAATTCTCCACCTTAACCTGTGTAAAAGATGAATACTTGGTTTTCTGGGCAAGAATACCCAACATGCAGCATTCCTGCTTCAACAAAACCCGACTGAATAGGGTGTTGAACTCGGAGAATAGTTATTGAAAAACTATAGATTTATTACAATATATAAGGTAGAATTTACTTGCAGCCTTACACAAATCTGTAGATACATGCAGTAGTGAAACAATCAACGAACCATAAGGGTAACATTTAGCATTTTCTATTTAACAATGTCCTCATTTTTATATTACTATTGGTTTATATATAGCAAACAAACCATTTCAATTTGTAGGAAGCTAGCAATGAATGGTCAGTCAATCGATTTATAGCAGTCCCTTTTTTGTTTTAATATTAATATCCCTGGAAAACAATATTTTGCACACCCTTTGAAATAAATTGATGAAGTCTGGGGGCTGGAGCAAATATCATTGGCTAGGTTGCAATCTTGTACTGCCCATTTTATTTCCATTATCAGATTCAAAGGATTAACTGTTCAGTCTACCAACAAAGTATCTTTCCAAATCACCTCAAGGACAGCAATATCTCACATCACAGGTACAGGTGTGGTAATAAAGTTCTTACTCTATCTGTAACAAGGAGGAAGAAGGAGTGGAAAAAAGATAAAGCAGGAGGAGTTTTCCAACCACATCAAAGAGCCTATCTTTAAAAAAGATTAACCCTTCTCATCAAGCTAGCCTTGACATCATAATGCAGAAAAGACAATACATTTACACTAATCCCTTCATAATTTTCAAGGGCACAGATCCAAAGAATGCGTCACAAGTTGATGAAGTCACATTTTTACAAAGATTGAAGCTGCATTCAACTAAACAAAAAAAAGGAAGTGCTAACTCTCTCAACCAATCACCAATATCACAATTTGAGGGGTTTCTGAACAGATTGTGTTCTGTTGCCAAGTTACTTATACAACATGCATATTATACTGAAGTACAGAATATAAAATCCAAATGAACACTAAGTCTTTTCTTACTCCTTTTAAAATAGAAATGTAGAGATCATTTGACGTAACTTAAAATTGGTATCAACCAAATATGCATTCATAATTAGGAAAATGCATTATTGGTTCATCATCTTTGCATTTGATACAGCACCTTATCACGTTGTCGAGAAGTCTAAAAGCACTTCGCAGAATATAATGTAAAGTGTAGCAACTGTGTGTTTTGTTGGTTTCAAGTTATTATTATTTTTTAAGAAATTATTACCCCCAGAAAAGCGATCTGCCAATCGACTAACAACTGCGTTCCTACTTACTGCTGGTAAACAGGCGTGTGTGTGGAGTAAGGAAACTTGCGCAACATTTAGCCCTACCGGGAACCAAACCCAAGTCCTCTCACTTGGCAGGCGAATGCTCAGTTCTCCCACTTCCACACATACTGTTTAATAACAACATAAGATTGCATCTCTGTAGCGCCTTTCACGTCAGGAGAACGTGAAGCATCTTTGATCCTTACGCATGCACTGTACTTTTAAGAAAACTTTAATGTATTCCAGCCGCAGTTCTATACAGACATTGGCAAGTCGGAATGTTAAGTGTAATAAAGTTCAATGTTGTTTCAATTCCCAAACTTTATTATCTTTCTTTAAAACTGCAAACATCAAACGCTTTCACCACTCACAATCCCACTTTTATTGCCAATACAAAAGGGTGAGTCAGAGCAATAACCGACAAACAATAAAACACCTTTAGAGACTAAAGGTAAATACACAGAAGCTTGGAACTCTTTTTTTAAAAAAAGGACAGACACAGCACAATTGTAATAAGTAGCAAGTTGAGAAAACAGGAGAGGTGTCCAGCAAAATGCATTCTTGCACAAATGGATTAAAACCATTACGAAAATAAATGGTCAAAATCCTTATGGCAACGTATTTGTGGGCATTTTCACCTACAAAACACAGTCACACTTTATAATATATCTCGTAAAAGGCTTTGAGACTTCCTTCTCACATGATTATTATTTAATAATGATGCCCTTTGTGACTGCAAATCTATGCACAAAGTTAATTTATGCATTTGGTTATGATAAAAGTTTTCTTTTTGATTGTACTTACAGTCACCGCTCCTTCCCTCCCCCCCTGGCTTGGGGTCAGATTCCGCCACTGTCAAGTGCTCCATGGTGCTACCCCATGTGAAGGGGACCATATAAATGCAAGTTGTTGTTGTAAAGGTAGCAAGTGACTCATACTCAAGTCTGGTTTCACGAATGCAAATAAATCTTCAGTATTTTGACCAAACAGTCAGTACATACACTCGACTAAGCAGTGAGTACTACCAGACTCTACCTATGGAGGGGTTCAGAGTTGAGTCTGATCCTACCTCTATCCAACATTGATTTTTTTTAAACCTTTTTTTAAAAAAGTTTTTTTTATTGAATCAGCAACAATAAAACCCAATTTGTAAATAAGGAGGAAGCAGATGATCTAGGATCCAAAGGCCATAAGGGTATGCAACATGTTTCTGAGAAAACTTTTAACCAGGTTCCACATCTGTAATTTATGGCTAAGGTAAGGAGTTACAGAAATTGGATAAAAGTATGTTTCTGGACAGATAATTGGCTTTAAAACAGTAAAAAAAAGTAACCATAAATGGGAACTTTTCAGGCTGGAAAAATATTATGAGCAGGTGTTGGGCCTTTAGTTCTTTGGCTATTTTTAGTGTGATTAACTTGTAAGTTGTATGTGGATATTGTAAGCTAAATCTTCACATTTGCAGATGGTCCAAGATAGAAGCCAGAGCTAATAATGAGCAACAGTGAAATCAGATTAAGATGAAACTGGATTTTTTTTAAAAAAGTAACTGGGCCAAAATGTATTTCAATATGGGTAAGTCTAAAACCAATGGGACAAGAAAACAAAAGGGAACATTGGCTAAATGGAACATTTATTCTACCAAGAAAACAGCATGCCGACCAAGAAAATTATCTCAGGGTTATTGTGGAATAATATATACGAAACCATTGCATCAGTGCTTGGCTTCAGTTAAAAAAAAGACAAGTAAGGTTGCATATCCAAACAAGACATTAACTGAACAGGGACTGTTAATCCTGCAAACTGTGTGCAGTTTGGTCATCTTTGAGCTTGAAACAGTAGTGATCGAGCAATAATGATGAATTCAGGAACAATATCAGGAATTTAATTTATGAAAAGTTAAGGAAATGTATTTGAGGGATATGGTGAGGAGAGATAGATGGGGTAGATGTGGTTGATAATCAAAAGGATACTGGTTCATTGTTTCCTGTTTCCTAAAAATGTTTCAATTTTATTGGGCAATTTACTGAAAACATAAACTGAGACAAATTAAGAGATGTTTCCTTCACTCCCCATAATCATATCCAAACAAACATTCCAAACAATTTACAGGAGCATAACAGATTGCAAAGGCTTACTGCTTCTTGGGACACAAATGCTGAGAATATCAGAACTTGCATATATTCATAGAATTCATTACGATGGAATTGCAGCAACTAAAAAGTTCCAAATCAACTTAAAAGGAGCAATACTGCTTTCAAGGCTGTCTCAATATAAAACAAGCTTAATCTTTACCAGTAATGATAACCAAGAAAATAACCATTCACAACAACACAGGAAAGAAGAAATCAGCGTTAATAAAACAATTTGTCTTTGATATACATTTTTATACAAAGCTTCTACCAGTTTCATGGGTTTAAATTAAGCACTAATCTAAACATGTTTACTTGACAGTTTCTTTGAATTAGCTTTTTAATCCATCATTCTTCAACCATTGGAAACTACACCTTTCAACTAAGCACATTACCCTTTCACCGGTCCTCCAGGGCACTGGAGATGACAGCACAATCAGGCTGACTCATTAGAGGAACTTGAAAGGGCAGACCATTCACTGGTCCCCATGCCCCAGTTCTT